ATTATATTCTACTTTTGCACGTATTTTCGTAGAGAAAATTCATCACAACCAAACATATTCTCATTTCTACACCTACATAAAACTAAAAATACATCTTCATCCAAACATATTCCCATTTTCTACACAAAAACCAATAATCTACTTTTTCCATCAGAAATTTTGAAAACTAGAAATTCCCATTGGAAACATAACCAAACATCCCCGTAGTCTTTGTGAGTTTTTAGAAGATGTAGAAGGTGGGTTTTTGGTTTTATGTAATTTGTTGTCTTTTTTTTTTTTTTTTTTTTTTTTTTTTTTTTTTTTTTTAGTAATAGTGCTATAGTATTTCTACATTGGAAAATTCAAATTGATCTTCTCCTAATTGAAATTAGTATTTCAAATAGTCGCAGTCTATTTTTTTTTTCTTGCTATTATATATACTCTATTGACTACTATCATACTTAGGGTGCAAGTTGGAACGAAAATTCCAATTTCCGCCACTTTCGATCCGAAAGGTTCCGATTTTGGAACAACCTTTCTCTTTCCGATTTTCGAAATTCCGATTTTTTAATTTTTCGATTTATTTGAATTGGAATTGGAATTATATAAAAAAGTTTGGAATTTCCGATTTTCGATCCGACTTAATTTTCAAAATTAATTCCGAAAACTTTCAATTCTTTTTCTACACCTATAAATAATAGGACTTTGCTAAATGGCCAGAATCTGGCCGGCCAAAATAGCATTTATTTCATTTTTTTTGTTTTTTTCATATATTTAATACCATATATGCCATTAATTATTTTAGCTCCACCATCTCTTCATAATTTCTCGCCTAATTTCCCTCCCTATTTTCCCTCCTAAAAAATAGAACCACTCAATTCTACAATTTTAGGTTTTACACATACAGTAAAAAAAATACATTATATCAATTCTACGATTAACAAATACTCGTCTTCAAATCTTACGATTAACAATTTGATTCTTACGATTTTTACGAATTATATTGTATTACCTTTTATGATATAATTCAATTTAAAATATATTATACTTTAATTATAATTAGTTAGTTCCATTAATATGTTCTTGTCAATACTTTCTCCCTCTAAAATATAATTATACCAAGTATTAAAATAAAAATAACATAATATTTTGATTCTACTAATCATCTATAGTTTTATTTTAAATTATGAAGAATTGGAATGAGTTATGATTTATTTTTGTTAAAATGAACATCATCTACATTTTTGTTATAAATATATTATTGTCAATAATTGTCATATATACAATAGTCAATAATTTCGATACGTTATTGTCAATAATATATGTCAATCGATTAAAAGTTTTGAATAAAGCTTAAGAATTGAAAGGACTTGAGCATAATTAATCAAAATCTTACTATTTAATTACTCCTAATTTATACTTTCTAAATAAACATATGATATTATTTTTATTAAAAATTATTACACTATCGATTTTAATAACATAGGGTGAGCTTGTATTAAGTTGTACATTTGCATATATTTAGTTAATTCAATTATTTGTATTTTTTCAACATTAATAATAATAATATTGGATATAATAATTAACGAATGATGTTTGGGAGTATCGAATGGCAGACTCTTTATATTTTTAAATTTATATATGTAATATATTACTGAATAATAATAAATAGAAAAATTAATAATTTATTTGACATTATTTAAATAACAATTATAAATCATTTTACACTATAATGTTATGCTATATATATATATATATTCGTAGAATTGTCCCACTCATTTAATATGTCCCTGTGATTTGTATCTTTGTGTTCATACGGGAGATCCGAGTTCGATTCCAGAACACAGCATTTTTTGTATCAAAATCTGATTTATTATCCGGGTCCCAGGTTAGGACCTCATTTATTATCCGGGTCCCCAGTTTGGAAGGAAATTGGAAGTTTTTGTATCAAAATCTGATTTATTATCCGGGTCCCAGGTTAGGATCTCATTTATTATCCGGGTCCCCAGTTTGGAAGGAAATTGGAAGTTGTGTTAATGTGTATGAATATGTAGGATGAGAAACCAAAATATTCAAATTTAAATATTAATTGCATAGGGGCAAAATAGTAATTCTACTTTCTAACTTTTAGCAATATTACAAAATTACCATTTTCTGGCAGGCCAGAATCTGGCCATGTAGCTTTATTGTAAATAATATATACTCCTTATGTCCCTTATTATATGTCTTTTTGGAGTGTTTTTTTTGTCCCAAATTATTTGTCGTATTAGACTTCCAATAAGGGCTTAATTGCATTTTTATTAATTTTCGCCCCTTATCATTCTTAATTAATTAATTAAAAAATAATTAATGACAAGGGTATTTTAGTTTTTACAATGTTATTTTTTGTATAATCTCTGCACATTTAGTGACTATGTTAATATATGCGCAACCACCCAAAACGACATATAATATGAGACGGAAGGGGTATTGTATAATACTTATTTTAATTTTTTTTGGAAACCCTAGTTTGATTTAAATTTTGTTTAAAGATTTCGCCATATTGAATTGTTGTTAGAAGTTTTATTGGATATCATGATGTGGTTTATTTTTATTTATTTTTTTTGAACTGAAATTTAATAGTTATTAATTTTACTTTATCGACGTGGATGTTCCTATTTTTGAAATTATGAAATTTTCAGAAAATTTCCGCTAAGTTTTGAAATTTGTAAACTTATGTGATTTCTGATTTTTTTTCCGAAATTTTGAAATTTTCGATTGGAATTGGATTTAATTTTGTACTTCCGATAAATACAGCTTTCACCCCTCAAGTTTGCACCAATTTCATGTTTGCTCCCTCAAGTTTGCAAAAAACTCATTTCATCCCCCATGTTTCAACCATTTAACAACTTTGTCATTTCCGTGAACTTACCTTCAGTTCGTAAGGCAGAGAAAGGAGCACATGCTTAATTCCGTTAGTACTACTGAAAATTGAAGGAAAAGATCAACTGTGATGACACTGCAAAAACTTGGGACATTATGAGTAAATAGCATAAAACCCCCTGTGTTAAGGAAAACCTACTCCAAATCCCCCTGTGTTTTTTTTTTCTTGCGTAAAACCCCCTTGTGTTCCATTTTACTTTGCACGAAATTCCCTTTTCCGTTAAAAGTTAACGCCGTTAACTTATATATGGGATTTTATGCAATTTTTGCATAACATAGGGGGATTTACTGCATATATGTTTTATACAATACAAATTACAAGGGGATTTTATGCAAAATTAATTTATACATTTAAAATTTTCACATTATTTTCTTAAATTAAGTCGAATACGTTTATTCAGTTACAATATGAAAAATATAAATTTAATAAGTGTGGTGAATATTAAAAAAAAAAATCAATTTTTATATGATATAATTTATTTATGTATTTAAGAATTTTGATTTTTGAAAATATATAAGTATTTTATTAAATTATGATCTATTTTTATAATTTATTCTGGATTAATTATATGTGAAAACAACATAAATGGTTTGAGAATTCGTTCCAACTTCCATCTCGAATATTAAATTTTTTGGCTTTCATATTTTAAATTAATAGATGTATTCGTTAAATTAAAAAAATAATTTGCATTTTAAATAAATTAATTAATTTTGCGTAGACCCCCCTTGTGTTGCAAAACCATGCACCAAATCCCCATATGTTATAAACAAACTTGCATAATATCCCCTCTATAGTTAACGGTGTTAACTTTTAACAGAAAAATATGAATTTCGTGCAAAGTGAAATGAAACACAAGGGAGTTTTACGCAAGAAAAAAAATACAGGGGGATTTGGCACAGATTTTCCTTAACACAGGGGTTCTATGCCTATTACACGTAATAATTGAATTCCACTCTGTTTGACTTGAACAAGAGAAAGAACGCGTTTTCTCCTTTCTTAACTTCTCTCTTTCCACACAATTTCAGCAAACCGACATTTTAAACACAATCAAATCTCATGAAATTAATATTACATAGTTTATTCTATATTTTGATTGTAAGAGAGAGAAAAGTTTAGAGAGAGAGAAAAGTTTAGAGAGATGTACTCGTCTAGGGATAATTGGGAGAGGTTAGTGACAGCAGTTGTACGGAAACAGCAGATTTGGGAACTATTTCACGACCACTCTAGAAGCCCGAGCATCAGCACCATTGCTTCATCAGAGGATAGCGATGATTTCAACCAACAATTTCTCGAGTAATTTTATTATTTTTTTTTTCTTCAATGAAACAGCTGAAATCTTTTCTTTGACTAAGGTGGTGTTTGCAAATGTTTTTTAAAGTGATTATGCGGTTTTTTTTTCTCATAATCTGTTTGTAGGTGTTTGCAAAATCAACTTTTGCTTTTGGTTCTCTTAAAATAATCTGCTTTAAGCTATTTTTTTAAAAGTACCCCTAACCTTGCCTTTTTCAATTTGAGTTCATTTTCCGAAATATTTGCAAACACCTCCAACTTTTAGAAATAAGCACTTAAAACTAACTTAAATCACAATCACTAATTTCTGCTTTTAAATAATCATTTGCAAACACCACCTAAATATTTGAGATTATTTTTTCAGTAATATTTCCGGTAACGGATGGGCAGCAACATCATTATCTGTATCTCCACTGCCACTTAATAACCCGCTATCTGTCTCTCAGGGTTTGTAATTTATCTACTGCTTTCATGAATTAATTAAACTTGGTTAAAAAAAAAAGATTTAATATTTTGTAATCCACAATTATTTTTGGGTAAATTCCACTTTTCCCCCCTTGTACTCTGGCTCGATATCATTTTACCGCTTCTACTCTCGATTGCATCGATTTGCCCACCTGTACAATTGTCTCAATGTGGCGCTTTAACAGTGTTTGATCTAATTCTGAAAATTACAAAAAAGTCACCCATCATATTTAAATAATTATTCAAAAAATTTAAAAAATAAAAAAACAAATTGTTTTTTTAATAATTATTTAAACTCGCAGAGGTGGTGTTTTTGTAATTTCACAAACGGTGTTAAGGTCAAATGTCTGACAACCACATTAAGACAATTTTTCAAGTGCATGGAGGGAAATCAACGCAATCGAGAGCAGAAGGTAGTAAAGTGATACCGAGCCAAAGTACAAGGTGGAAAGTGGAATTTACTCACTATTTTTTACAGTGGGTTTTCCCCCTTTTGTTTGGTGTTAATTTCAACTAAAATTTAGTGTGTGTGTGTGTGTGTGTGAATAACACTTGGCCGTTTGTTGCTTATTGCAGTCGGCAAGAAACCCGGTGGAGCCAATATCACACGAAAGCTATTTCCTGCTAATTGGTACAGAGGAAAGAAACCAGAAAAGGAACCACAGCAAGAACATTATATCATTAATATTCCTGCAGGTTAGTCTTCTAAATGTGAATTTAAATTACATTATTTGTTTATAGGTAATCTAAATTGCTGATAATGTTCATACTTCCTACAGTACTTGCTTTGTATTATAATTGCTGATGCAATCAGCGCTTGCGTGCAGGAGTTTGCACATTTTCTCTAAACGAATTGGAGATTGCAACAGATTACTTTGCAGACAGAAATATCATTTTAAGAGATGATTCTGATGATTGTAATTATTTTTCAAAATCCTACAAAGGCCGGTTAAAAGATGGCCTTTTAGTGGCTGTTAAATTATATAGACATTTACGAGAGCATTTCAAAACAGGAGTTGAAACGATGAGCATTGCTAACGTGCATCCAAATTTACTCCGATTAATTGGCGTTTGCGTTACGCAACTAGAGAGCATGCTCGTTTATCCCTATATGGCCAACGGAAGTGTTGCATCACGCTTAAGAGGTAATTTCTCGAGCCGTTAATGTTTGAGATAAAAAGCAAGTGAAGTAAGAAAAAAAAATATTCGCCATCCATATTCATAATAAACTATATTTTAGATGATGTATAAATATTATAATTACCAACCCTCATTAGGAGAGTTGGTACCTAGCCCTTACCAATAGGGTAACGGTCTAGGGTTCGAGTCCCCCCCTCCCCTACTTTCCTTTGTAATGGACTTGAATTTACTCAAAAAAAATATTATAATTAATCCCCTAAAAAATCTTACAACCAAACATTTGATATATTTAAAAAAAAAAAAAAACATTTCATAGCTAAAAGGAAATGTACAGTTTTTATCACTCAAGTTTGCAACAATTTCACATTTGGTCCCTCATGTTTACAGAAAAACACATTTGGTCTCTCATGTGTCAATAATTTAACACTTTTGATCATTTCCATCAATTTACCCATAGTCTGTCAGTTACGGTAGTAACTGGTAGTAACTAACAGTAGTGATGGACACACGCTTGATTCCGTTAGTTTTACCAGAAAATTGACGGAAATGGCTAAAAATGTTGAATTTTTGAAACATGAGGGACCAAAAGTGTTTTTTTGTGAACATAGAGGGCCAAATGTGAAATCGGTTCAAACTTGTGGGATGAAAACTGTATTTTTCCCATAGTTAAATGGGTTAAATTGGAGTTTTTTGGAGAAACATTCATGGTATCTAAAAGATTCCGTAATTATTGACGCCATATGGGGGAAACTATTATAGGATGCGTACCTCAAGAGTAAATGTAATATAGCCTTGACCGAACGGGTGTTCGTAGTGTAGATGCCCATTAATTAACCCTTTGTTTGAAATTAAGTAGTGTTATTGCAGATCGATCGGAGTCGCAACCTCCACTTGATTGGCAAGTAAGAAAACAGATAGCATTGGGGGCGGCTAGGGGTCTAGCCTATTTGCACGATGGCTGTGAACGGAAAATCATTCATCGCAATGTGAAAGCTGCAAATATATATTTGAACGAGGACTTTGAAGCAATTATTGGTAACTTTGAGTTGGCCATACACATGGACCACGGTGTAACTCATGTGGAAGAAAAATATTTATGTGGCACAATTGGTTATGAGTAATAGGACTTTGAAGCCCTATAGTTTTTGCTTACGGTATTTTTCTTCTTGAGCTCATAACAGGGCAGAGAGCTTATGATCGTGCTAGGTTTGATAATTACGAAGATGGGATATTACTTGATTGGGTGAGAGCCTATGTACATATATATATAACTAATAATTGCCTCGTAAAGTATGTTGTAAATTCGATCGCCTTAATAACTAACTAAGAGCTTCTCCAATAATATGATCAGGTAAAGACATATGTAAATTACGAGAAGAAATGGGAGAGGATTGTTGATCCTGATATTGGAGGTAATAATTATTACGTTGAAGAAGAGGTGGAGCAATTGATTCGAATAGCTCTGCGCTGCACACAGAATAAGCCGGAGAGACGACCCGATATGTCGGAAATTGTGAGGATAATGCTACCACATGGAGATGGCTTATCATTAGCTCAAAGGTGGGAAGAGTTTTGTGATGAAGAAATAATACCAGATAGCCCAAGGCAATCAGATGAACTATCCAGCCCTAGATGATCGTGCAATTTGGTGTCTGCATCAGATTTCTGTGTTTCGTATATGTCTTGAATCTCGAGACCTAAGGAGCATTGTGAAGACGGTGTTGAGTCATCGGAAAAACAGTCTCAATTGACCAATCCAAGCCATAAAGATTTGAAAACCGTGAGGCTAGGAGATCGTAAAGTTCTTTCCAGATATATCAAACCATCGAAGTATAATTATGCCTACATATTAAAAGGATTTCCCCTGTTAAGGGTTTTCACTTTTCATTGATGTATACGTGAGTATATATACAGGAGGATTGATTTAATGTGAATCAATCGAGTAATTACAATCACGGTAGATCAACATAAAATACACAGTACAAGCCGTGATCTAAGGTAATTGTGTATATAAGGAAAACTTATTAAGAAGGATGATTTACATAATTCAGAGCGTGATATATTCTCAATATGCCCCCGCAAGATGGCGATTCAGTCAGAAACGCCAATCTTGGAACGAAGTCCTTCAAAGGCTGGTGTAGGAAGTGGCTTTGTCAGTAAGTCTGCCAACTGATCTTTGGATGAGATATGAGACACACGCAGCTGCACATCTTGAACAAGTTTCCGAACAAAGTGAAATGCCACCTCAATATGCTTCATGCGCGAGCGAAAAACTGGATTGGCGCAAAGATATGTTGTGCCAAGATTGTCACAATAGATGACTGGTTGAGTGGCAAGAGAGATTGATAGTTTACTGAGAACACCTTGTACCCAACACAATTCACGTGTTGTGATTGCGACTGAGCGGTATTCAGCTTCGGTAGATGAACAAGCAACATAACGTTGTTTCTTAGAGCTTCAAGCAATCGGATTGCGACCAAGAAGGACGACAAATGCACTTGTAGATGTGTGATCATCCTTGTTTCCAACCCAGTCAGAATCGGAATAGGCATGAAGCGTCAGAGGAGAGTTATCGGACAAAAACAAACCATGTTCAAATGAACCTCCCAAGTAGCGAAGAACTCGTTTCACGGCTGTCCAATGATTTGTAGTAGGATGATTTGCAAATTGAGCAAGTTTATACACAGCATATGCAATGTCCGGACGGATGAGCATTAAGTATTGTAGGTTGCCGACAATTTTGCAATATTCTTTGGCATCACCAAGATGAGCGCTATCACTAATAGATAGGGTATTACCGGTGGATAGAGGTGTCTTGACAGCCTTGGTGCCGACCACATTTGCACGATCTAGAGCTGCATAATATATTTTTTCTGAGAAAGAAATATACCATTTTTGCTTCTTGTCACCTCCACACTGAAAAATAAATTTAGATTACCTAGGTCTTTAATGGAGAATTGTGAGCCAAACTTCTTTACAAATGTCTCAATTGACGGTGAGTGATTCCCTGTAATGATCAAGTCATCCACATAAACAATTAAGTAGATGATGATTCCTTCATGGCCAAAGATAAATAGACAAGTATCGAATGCGGAGTTGATGAAGCCAAGTGAAAATAGACATCGTTGCAATTCTGAGAACCACGCTCGTGGGGCTTGCTTTAAACCATAGATTGGCTTATTCAACTTGTAGACATGATTGGGGAATTGTTCGTCAATAAATCCAGATGGTTGAGACATATAAACAGGGGTTGATAGCATTTCGCCACCTGAACTTTGGCCCTTTTTGCACTTTGCCACTTTAACTAATAAAAGTTGCAAACGCACACCCAAACTTAGTTTTTTGACGCACATAACCACCTAAGGGGAATATTCCGGCGAATCTTCTAATTTTCCAGCGCACGCGCGATGCACATGCGAAAGTACAAGGGCTTTTTCGTCTTTTTACTTGAAAATATCATAAGGGGTGAAATTGAAAGTACCAGGGACTCAATTGAACTTAATTTGAAACTTTCACAAATTCGAAATTAATTGAAGCTTTGTGGCTTCATCTTCCATGTGTAATCTCGAATTGTCGAAAAGACACCTCCGTTAAAAAAATTAGCAACAACCCCCCTATATTACGTTTTACAAAGCACACAGCTCCTTACATTTTTGAAAAATATTTCAATTTAAATAAACAAAATGATTTTTTTTTATATTAAATATAAAAGAAAATTATGAAACTTTTATGTTGGGTCTTACAAAAATCATGGGGTGAGTTTATAATTTTCTAAAATTATTTTTTAAAGGGTATTTTGGTCTTTTCAAGTCAAAAAACATAACCCAGGTCGCGAAATTAATTGGAGATTTCAGGGGTCCCACGAGATAGCATAAACTTCACATTGGTGTGATATTGTCCAAATTAGGCCGGGCCCAATTGGTTTTGCTCTTGGGTTTCCTCAAAAGACCTCACTGTAATAGAGGTGCTATCCCCTCCTTATGAAGGATTGATCTTTCCCATATTAAACCGACGTGGGACATTGTTTGCACTTCAACAATCCTCCCCTCGAACAAAGGAACACATAGGTCGGACCACAAAGGACCACCGAGCCTCCCCTTAATTTGCGCCCGGAGCTCATCACCATCTTTTTTCCGCGCACCAAGCCTCGAACAAAGGACCACATAGATCGGACCATACAAAGGATCACCGAGCCTCCCACCTGGAGCTCGTCGAGCCGCCTACCATTTGCGCACCCTTTCCTCGCTGAACGACCGCATTACCACTTCTTTCTTGTCAATTGCAGCTAATTCTTCGGAGCAGAGCATGACAATGGAATTCAACAGAGCCCTCGCCTCAAACTTTGCTCTGATAAAGTCTCGCGAGCAACGGCCGCAAGTATGTCATCATCTGCTTCTCGCAATAAAATTTGTCATTATTTGAAATGAGGTAGACAAAATATTTGTCATCGTCCGGATTTAAGCGACTTCTCTGTCTTTCCATTTCTGTCAATTATTTTGTGATGTCTTCTTGTTCTGCTGCGATGGTATTTGATTTTAGGAAATTATGTACTAGATGAGTAGTGTGAGAAGATGAAGAAAACGGACAAAATTTAGGCGGTTTAATGGTATTTACCCTTCAAAATATTTTTCCGCTCAGACCACAATCGACATTTGCACTTCGATTTTTATCGTAAAAATCGACATCTATGTGTCGATTATATTGTCTAAATCAAACTAAAAAGGAAAACAGTCAAATATCGACATTGTAATGTCGTGAAAAGTAGCAAAAAATCGACACCTAGATATCAATTTCTCTGTAAAAGTAGCGACATGTACATGTCAAAAATTTACACACAAAATCGACTTGCAAGTGTCGATCAACCGTACAAAAATTCGACATTTGCAAGTTGATTTTCCGAGTTCAACAGTTTAAAAAAAACCATCCATTGTATTCTTTAATTGTCTATTCTTCAACATAATTACACAACTACGTGCTCATAGAGACTTCTAAATGATATTTTGACAAAAAAATAAGAAAAAAAAAAAAAAAAAACTTCAAAAAGATCGATTGTTACAAAAAACCCTTTCGATTTTTCACACTTTTTTGAGATTTTGAAAACCATAATTGTTGAAGGTTTTGCTTAGGCGTCGGTGTTGGACGGTTTGCTCCGGTGGGCGGTGACTATGAAGGATTGCTCGATTCTGGCGCTTTGGCAGCAGGTGCGGGTTTTGCTCCGACAATGATGAGTTTTGTTGTGTCTAGTCTTGCAATGTTTCTTTTTTTTTTTTTTTTTGTTTTTATTTTTTTGGTGCATGATTTTGAATGACTTTCTAAAGATTCATACATCATGCATGCAACTTAAAATGAAATGCTATCTACGGTTAGAAATTTGCTATTTGCGGTTTAAAACAAAACCCCCCAAAACTTTCCAAAAAAATCCAAAAACCCTCCAAACTGCAAATAGCAAAAAAAAAAAAAAAATTCGAAAATTCGAAATCAAGCTTGAAGAAGGCTTTTTTTTCGCAAAAACATGTTGGAACGCCCAAGATGGGCGCCCAAGATGGGCGCCCAAGGCGTGTACGAAACGCCTTGGGCGTTCAATTAAAAAAAAAAAATTTTTTTTTTTGCACTGGACGCCCAACTCGGGTGCCCAAATGCAGCTTGCACGCCCAACTTGGGCGTGCACTGCATGAATGGGCGCCCAAGTTGGGCTTTTACGCTTTTTGGGGTGGTTTTTGGATTTTTTTGGGAAGTTTTAGAGAGATAAAGTGTTTTTTGTTATAAACCGCAAATAGCAATTTTCAAACCGTAAATAGCAAGTCCCAACTTAAATTGGGCTATCTGTATTCTTATTTCCTCTCGCATTTTTTTAGCATAGCTTAAATTTAATGTAACTTTGAAAGAGTACGAAAAGCGGAAAAGTTGACTTAGCAAAACAGTAATCACCAAAAGCACTGAGTATATGAATTGCCTTTCATAATACATTTTATCTTCGATGGTTGATTATTCGACATATTTGCATGATCACCTAGGGTTGGATAGTTCAACAGATTGCCTTGGGCTGCAAGACAACATTTCTTCATTATAGAAGTACTCTTCCCAACTTTGAGCTAACAAGCCATCTCCAAATCGTAGCATACTCACAATTTTCGACATATTGGGACGTCTCTTAGGGTCGGTTTGTGTGCAAAGAAGAGCTATTTTAATCGTTTGACCCACTCCTTCTTCGATGTAACGACCCCTCAAATGAGGATCGGCTATCATCTCCCATTTCTTCTGCACTAAAATTCTCTTTACCTAAGAATAGATATTGGACAAGGTTTTGTTAGTTGAACACACATTTAATACGCCTGTGTTTATATTTAATTTGGGAAAAAAACAATTTTCATCCCTCAAGTTTGCACCGATTATGCATTTGGTCCCTCATGTTTCAAAAATTCAACATTTTTAGTCCTTTCGCCAATTTTCCGTTAGTACTAACAGAATCAAGCGCGTGCCCATCACAGCCTTAACTGAAGGACTAACGGTAAATTGACGAAAAATGACCAAAAATGTTAAATTATTGAAGTATGAGGGACTAAATGTGTTTTTTGTGAACATGTGTGACCAAATGTGAAATCGATGCAAACTTGAGGGATGCAAACTGCAATTTTTCTTATTGAATTTGTACGAAACTCCCACTGTTATTTTATCAGCAAAACCCTCTTCAGTGCATTTTTTTTAGCATAGAACCCCCTAAATAGGTGAATTTTTAGGGTAGTTTTCTTAAAAATGAATCACTAGAGTGGGGTTGCCAATAAAATAAGATGGGTTATTTAACGGGGAAAATATAGTTTCCGTCCCTCAAGTTTGCACCAATTTCATATTTGGTCCCCATGTTCAAAAAAACACACTTGGTCCTTCATGTTTAAAAAAATCTACAATTGTGGTCCTTTTCGTCAACTTTCCCTCACTACCTTAACGGACGGACTAACATTAAAGTGACGGAAATGACCAAAATTGTTGAACTATTGAAACATGAGGGATCAAATGTGTTTTTTGTGAACATGGGGGACCGAATATGAAATCAGTGCAAACTTGAGGGATTAAAACTGAAATTTTCCCTTTTTTTTAACAATTAGAAAAAACACAGAGGGTGCCTAATGCAATAAACCCCACGCGTGTGTGTATATATATATATATATATATATATATATATATATATATATATATATATATATATATATATATATATATATATATATATATATAGGCTCTCACCCAATCAACTAACATCATGTCTTCCTCGTGGGCAAGACGATCAAGATCGAAAGAAGTTTGCCGCGTGATGAGCTCAAGAAGAAAGATACCATAGCCATAAACATCACTTTTCTCTGAACAAATACTCTTGGCGAGATATTCAGGAGCTATATGACCAATTGTTCCGCATACATGTTGGATTGGGACATCAGTGATTACGTGGTCCGTAACTATGGAAATCCCAAAGTTACCAATAATTGCATCGAAGTCCTCGTTCAAAAATATATTTGCAGCTTTGATATCACGATGAATGATTTTCCGCTCGCACTCGTTATGCAAACATGCCAGACCACTTGCGGTCCCCAGTGCTATCCGTTTTCTTACTTGCCAGTCAAGTGGAGACTGTGAGCTCATTCGCTCTGCAATAAAAGAACATTTTTATTTCAAAACACATATTCAGTGGGAAAAATACAGTTTTCATCTCTCAAGTTTGCTCAAATTCCACATTTGGTCCCCCATGTTCCCAAAAAACACATTTGGTCCCTCCTGTTTCAAAAATTTAACACTTTTAGTCATTTCCGTCAATTTTCTGTTAAAAGTAACGGAATCAAATGTGTTCCCTTCACTATGTAACTGACGGATTGACGGTAAATTGATGGAAATGACCAAAAATGTCAAATTATTGAAACATGAGGGACCAAATGTGTTTTTTTGTGAAAATGAGGGACCAAATGTGAAATCGTTGCAAACGTGAGGGATGAAAACTATAAAGTTCCCCATATTTTAGTCCATAATGTTTCAACAATTTAACACTTTTGATCTTTTCCGTCAATTTACCGTTAGTCCATTCAGTTAAGACAATGACGGCCACACGCTTGATCAGTTAGTACTAACTGCAAATTGACGTTAATGACCAAAAATGTTACAATTTTGAAACATAAGGGACTAAATCTGTTTTTTTTTTTTTTTTTTTTACCAAATATGAAATCGGGGTAAACGCAAGGGACAAAAATCGTACTTTTCGCAATTTCAAATGATCATTACTTTATGTTTAATCGGATTTCTTATCATAGTATTCTTAATTAGTACATTTTTGTAGAGAATTTGAAACTGTAAAGTCGAAGAAACTGTGCATGTTTTATATCAGATTACGTAATAGTATATTCACCCCTCAAAAAAAAGAAAAATTCGAGGACCCGTACATACCTTTTTGTGATAAAAAATTTAAAAGCTCGGAAATTACCTCTTAAGCATGACGCGACACTTCCATTGACCATTAAGGGATAAATAAGAATCTTTTCTTTATGCGTAATGCAAACACCAAGCAATCGAAGTAAATTCGGATGCACAGTAGAAATGCTCATCGTTTCAACTTCTGTTTGGAAATGCCGCTCTACATAGTAATCTAACTCGGTTCCTTGTTCCAATCTTTTAACTGCCACAAGAAAGCCATTTTCTAACCGGCCTTTGTAGAACTTATAGCGTCGACCGTTATGAAATACATTTTCACTTGCAAAACCGTCTGTTGCAATCTCGACTTCGTGTAGAGAAAATCTCACAACTCCTGCGCGAACCTCATCCACAAAATTAAAATACAAAATTAAATAACACTTATTTATTTCAAACAAAGATTAAAGAACATCTACTCTATAAATGTTCAAATCTCTTGTTTTCTTAAGTTACTATAAATTTGCCAATTCTTTAAAAGAATATCAAAACATGCAAAGGTTGACTTTTATACTAATCGTCTTTCTTAACCAACGGAAAAATAATCACAAAAACAGGAAAATTACAGTTGTCGTTCCTCAAGTTTGCAGCGGTTTCACATTTTGGTCCTCATGTTCACATAACACACATTCGGTCCCTCATTTTTCAACAATTTGACACTTTTGGTCATTTCGGTCAATACCGTTAGTCCAGTCAGTTAAGAGAGTGATGAACACATACTTGATTCTGTCAGTACTAACGGAAAATTAACAGAAATGACCATAAGTGTAAAATTATTGAAATACGAGGGACTAAATTTGTTTTTTTGTGAACATGAGGACCAAATGTGAAATTGAGGTAAAGTTAAGGGACGAAAAGTGTAATTTCCCTCACAAAAACCCATTGGCTATATGAAGTTCTCTACAATATATCTGTATAAATACAGATGGGAAAATTACAGTTTTGATCCCTCAAGTTTGCAACGATTTCATATTTCGTCCTCCATATTCGGAAAACACACATTTGGTCCCTTATATTTTAATAACTTAACACTTTTGGTAATTTCCGTCAATTTACCGTTAGTCCGTCAGTTAAGGCAGCGACGGGCACAAGCTTGATTCCGTTAGTTTTAACATAAATTTGATAGAATGGACTAAAAGTGTTGAATTTATGAAACATGAAGGACCAAATGTGTTTTTTGTGGACATGGAAGACCAAAAATGTGGAATCAGTGCAAACTTGAAGGATCAAAACTGTATTTTTCCCAAATAGAAATGATAAAAAAAAAAGGCCTTGAAATAGAAATAAATACGAAAAACCTTATTGACAAGCTCAATAACCTGTTGTGCATGATGCAACACTTCCGTTGAGCATAAAGGGATAAACAAACATCTTTTCCTTGCGCGCAATGCAAACACCAAGCAGTCGAAGTAAATTTGGATGCACAGAAATGCTCATCGTTTTAACTTCGGTTTTGAAATACATCTGCTCGTCGAAATCCTCTCTCTTCACCAACTTTTTAACTGCCACTAGAGAGCCATTTGCTAACCGGCCTTTGTACAACTTCGAGAATCCGTTACAATAAAATTGATTTTTACTTGCAAAACTGTTTGTTGCAACCTTCAGTTCGTGTAGAGAAAATCTCCTAACTCCTCTGTCCACCTCATCTGCAGTTAAAAATAGAAAATAAGCGTAGTGTGGGAATATATTTATATATATACAACGGGAAAATTACAGTTTTCATCCCTCAAGTTTGCACCGATTTTACATTTAGTCCTCTATGTTCATAAAAAACACATTTAGTCCCTCATGTTTCAATAATTTAACGTTTTTGGTCATTTTCGTCAATTTAGTGTTAATCTGTTAGTTAAGTCATTGATGGGCATAGGCTTGATTCCGTTAGTTTTAACGGAAAATTGACGGAAATGACTAAAAGTGTTGAATTTATGAAACATGAGGGACCAAATGTGTTTTTTGTGAACACGAGGGACCAAATGTGAAATCGGTGCTAATGTGAGGGACTAAAACTGTATTTTTTTCCTATATACAACCATGTTAATTTCAATCCATAATCAACAAAATATTCAATCTTCAAATAAGGGCACACAACTTAATTTGCTTAGTAATTACGAAACACGACTAGTTGAAGAACTCCAAACCGAAAGGAAAAAATCCGCTACATAGAAAATGTGGGCTATACAAAACATTTCGATGAACTTTGTAATTCACCAAGTCCCCATAAGTATTAACGAAAACACAATGTAATTTGCCTCGCAAAACTTTGCATAAGAACGAAAAGGGCTTTTTTTGGTTCAGATTCGTACTTATTTCGAAAAATTACGCTTTTTGTCTCTCGAGTTTAACTCGATTACACATTTGGTCCACTTGTTTACAAAAAAAACTGATTTAGTCTCTTATGTTTCAACAATTTAACATTTTTTTGTGATTCACGTCAATTTTCCGTTAGTACTAACATAATCGAGCATGTGCCAGCTCATTACTCTTCTAGCTGACCGACCAACAGTAAATTGTTAAAATATGAGGGACCAAATGTGTTATTTGTAAACGTGGGGACCAAATGTGAAATCGGTGCAAAATTGAGGGACGAAAAAGACTTGCATGCAATCCACAAGAAATACGCATTCATATTAAAATAAGCATTTATACAAAGGAGAAATTGATTTCTATAAGTTCCCAAACCTCTCCTCCAAATTCGAACAGTTGAATGAGCATCTCAACCATTTATACAAAGGAAAATTTATTTTAACGTAAAATGTAACATTTAATATTAATATATTCAATAAGCCTTCTCAAGTGCAAACGAATTACATTTGAAGCTTTGCACTTGAAATATATGAAATGGGTGGCTATGGGATTTAAAAGGGAAAATTACATTCTATGTCCCTAAACTTTACTACTAAAATATTTTTTGTCCCCAAACTTTTGCATTCACGAAATATATCCTCAAACTTGCCACTTTTTAACAATTAGTGTTCCGCCGTTAACTTCGTCAGTCAAATTGTCACGTGGGGCGCACGTGATGCCGACGTGACCGTCAAATATCGAGCTGGCACACAAATCCGTCGATCTAAACCCAATTCCAAATTTGTCAGATCCCCAATTCTCACTTCACTCTTCACACCCAAAGCCCTAGTCATCAAATCTCAAAATTTCTTTCAATCCCGTAAACACACTCCCAAATTTACAATCAGATCTTCAATGTTGTTCGAAATCATACGGAGTTCAAAGTTGTAAACCCATAACAAATCCCAAATTCCCAAAACCGAAGTTCAAAGATAAGAACTTTGAAAAAACTTACTAAAATTGGAGATTGTTGGTCGATTTGCGATGCTTGAGTTCCACAAATGTTCGATTAATTAGGATTAGGCGATCTTGTTGATGTCGAATTTCACCTCAATTTGAAGATTTCTACGGGGAATTCGGGGATATGGTTTATCTGATAAGGATTAGTGAATTGGGGTAATGAGAAATTAAGGATTTTATAATTGAAATAGGGGAAGAGAATGGCGTGTCACTCCACGTCATATTCAATCGGAGAAATCGACGTAGGGTGTAAGCCAGATCAATCTTAACAACCAGGTCAATATCATGTGTGCCACATGTGACATTCCGTTTAACTTGACTGGCGAAGTTAACGGCCGAGCACAAATTGTTAAAAAGTGGCAAGTTTGGGGATATATTTCGTGGATGCAAAAGCTTGAAGACAAAAATCATTTTAGTGGTATAGTTAGGGACATAAAATGTAATTTTCCCGGATTTAAACTCATGACTTTTTCATTTGGTCTGGCTCTCTGATACCATGTTGAATGACCATCTCAACCAAAAACTTAAGCTATTAGTAAAATGTATCATTTAATATTATTAATTTAAGTTAATTTAGAAACTAATGCAAAAATATTTATACAAAAATAACCTGGGAAAAGCAATGAGAAAATATTAAAAAGGTAGACAAACCTCGAGAAACAGATGGGTTACTCAGTGGCACTGCACATACAGAGGTAGCTTGCGGCGATGATCGGTTGCCGGAAAAACTGAAATAATCTGAAATTAGTATGTAAAATCTGGAAAGAAAAAAAAGGGAAAATTACATTTTATGTCCCTAAACTATACCACTAAAATGATTTTTGTCCTCAAACTTTTGCATCCACGAAATATATCCTCAAACTTGCCACTTTACAACAATTTGTGTTTGGCCGTTAACTTCGGCAGTCAAGTTAAACGGAATGTCACATGTGGCACACGTGATATCGACATGGCTGTTAAGATTGATCTGGCTTACACCTGGCCTACGTCGATTACGCATATTGAATATGACGTGGGGTGACAATTCTCTCCCCCTATTTCAATTATGAAATCCTTAATTCTCTTTTTCCCAATTCATTGAACATGAACCTGACCAGATAAACCCTACCCCGAATTCCCCGTAGAAATCCTCGAATTGAGATGAAATTCGGCATCAACGAGATCGCTTAATCCTAATTTCGCAAATAATCAAACATTTGTGGAAACGAAGCATCATAAATCGACCAACAATCTCCAATTTTAGTAAGTTTCTTCAAAGTTCTTATCTTTGAACTTCGGTTTTGGGATTTTGGGATTTGTTATGGGTTTATGACTTTGAACTCCGTATGATTTCGAACAACATTGAAGACCTGATTGTAAATTTGGGAGTGTGTTTACAAGATTGAAAGAAATTTTCAGATTTGATGGCTAGGATTTCGGGTGTGAAGAGTGAAGTAGAAATTGGGGATCTGGAAAATTGTGGAATTGGGTTCAGATAGACAGATTTGTATGCCAGCTCAACATTTGACGGCCACGTCGGCATGACATGCCCCCACGTGACAATTTGACTAACAGAGTTAACGGCGAAACACAAACTGTTAAAAAGTGGCAAGTTTGAGGATATATTTCGTGAATGCAAAAGTTTGGGGACAAAAAATATTTTAGTGGTAAAGTTTAGGGACATAAAATGTAATTTTCCCGAAAAAAAAAATGTCTTCTTATATTAAATTAAAGTTAATAACAATAATAATAATAATACCGGAGAATTTTTTCACCGAAATCATGACCATCATCATCATCATCATCTGAAGCAATGGTGCTTATGCTTGGCGTCCGGGAGTGGTCGTGACACAATTCCCATATCTGCTGCCGCCGCACCACCGCCGACACGAGCCTCTCCCAATTGTCCCGAGACATCTAACTCATCAGCACCTGCGCGCGCGGCCGCCGCTGTAATAAACTTAACCTTCTGCTATTCGTTGTGACTTGTGATTGAAACTTCTTTTATTTTATTTATTTTTTTCATGTGATTTTACTGAAATTTCGAAATTTTGTCGAGAGGGAAAACCGGAAATGTAAGAAGCGCGTTTTTATCGGGTCAAAGTCAAGTGGGAGTCGTGCATAATCTTTTTTTCAAGGAGTGTGAATTGCGTTTTGCACCAAGTCCCAGAATTGACATTGACTTTTAATTAAAAAATTAATGTTTTCATCCCTAAAGTTTACACTAATTTCACATTTAGTCTCTCATGTTCACAAAAAACACATTTGTCCCTTCTGTTTCAATAATTCAACGCTTTTACTCATTTCCATTAATTTACCGTTAGTCCGTTAGTTAAGGTAGTGATGGGCACATGCTTGATTCCGTTAGTACTAACGGAAAATTGACGGAAAGACAAAAGTGTTGAATTTTTTAAACACGAGGGACCAAATGTGTTTTTTGTGAATATTGGGGACCAAATGTGAAATCGGTGCAAACTTGATGGACGAAAATTGTATTTTCCCCGATTTTTAATATTTTGATTATTTTTTTCAAAATAATTAAATTTATTTAGAAAATATAGATCAGATATTTAAAATAACATAGAACCTAAGTTTATAAAGTATTTGGATGATTAATCAACTATTGAATATTAAAAATTTATAATCATAGTAAGTTAATGCATAATTCATAATATAAATAAATAATAATATTTTTTTTTCATAATATGATACTTTTGAATTATTTTTTAAAATTAGAAGAATCAAAGATTGAACTATTTATTGAAAAAATAATGGGACATATTTCATGCTTCAAGTTTACACGGATTCCACATTTCGTCCATATATTGTGTTTATAAACAAAACATTTGGTCACTCATGTTCATAAATTCAACACTTTATGTCATTTCCGTCATTTTCTCGGTTGGTACTAACAGAATCAAGTGTGTGCACATCATTGCCTTCACTAAAATAATAACGCTAAATTGATGGAAATGACCAAAAGTATTAAATTATTGAAATGTGAGGGATCAAATATGTTTTTTTGTGAACATAAGGGATCAAATGTGAAATCGGTGCAAACCTGAGGGATGAAAATTGTAATCTTCCCAAAAAAGAATTCATTTGCTAATTAATGTACACTCATTTAATCTTCCTTGAGGAGCGAAAGTGAAACTAGACTGGATTTGTGTCCTCCTAATAATATCCATAAATGACTTGCTACTGTTATTTCTAATTAAATTCGAAAACCAAACAAAATTAAAGTATTAAATTTTCTTTTGTATTTTTTTTTTTGTTAATGAAGGAATTCGCAGTAGTGCACTGGGTAAACCTAAACTCTCGTATAATAGCTTGCAAACAATACGAGATGTGTATTTGTTTATCTTAGAACTAAAATAATAGTTTAAAAGTAATTACAACACTGCACCATCATCATCTTGGGCTGGAAAGTTCATCTGATTGCCTTGGGCTATCTGGTAATTTTAGATCCCATTTCTCATCGGAACTCATCATAAACTCTTGACGAAGCAATTTTTCTTCATTACAAAACTCTTCCCACCTTTGAGATAGCACTAAGCCATCGCCAAGTTGTAGCATTATCCTCACGATTTCCGACATTTTCGGACGTTTCTCCGGGTTGTTCTGTGTGCAGATCAGAGCTATTTTAATCATCTCCTCCACACCTTGCTCAATGTAATAATAATTACCTCTAATATCGGGATCAACAATCCTCTCCCGCTCCTTCTCCTCTACGATTCTCTTAACCTGAAAATGGATATTGATGATATTATATTTTATATTAATATATGGGAAACTTACATATTTCATCTCTCAAGTTTGACTGATTAGACATTTGGTCCCGAAAACCCGAATAATTTACCAATTTAGGGCATTTCCGTCAATTTACCGTTATTCCTTCAGTTAAAGGAGTGATGGGCACAGGCCTGATTCCGTTAGTACTAACATAAAATTGACGAAAATGACTAAAAATATTGATTTTTTTAACATGAGGGACCAGATGTGTGTTTTGTGAACATGGGGGACCAAATGTGAAATCAATGCAAACTTGAGGGACGGAAACCGTATTTTACTCACCCACTCAAGTAACACTACAGCTTCGTCATTCGCACGCCGAATAAGATCAAAAGCTCTGCGACCAGTGATTAGCTCGAGAAGAAAGACACCATAGCTATAAACATCGATTTTCTCCGAACAAATACCCTCCGAGAGGTATTCAGGAGCTATATGACCAACCGTTCCGCTAACAACTTCTTCCAGATGAGTAACACCGTGGTCCATCAGTATGGCCAAATCAAAGTTACTAATAATTGCATCAAAGTCCTCGTTCAAAAATATGTTTACAGCTTTGACATTCCGATGAATGATTTTCCTCGGACATTCATCGTGCAAATGGGCTAGACCCCTAGCAACCCCCATTGCTATCCGTTTTCTTACTGGCCAATCAAGTGGATGTTTTGACTCCAGTCGCGCTGCAATAACACATTTTTTTATAAAGAAACAATTCATAAGGCCATGTGAATTCTTTACTAAATGCCTTACACTAAGAAAACAACTACATATTTTTTCATATACATATATGGTAAAATACAGTTTTTGTCCTGCAAATTTGCACCGATTTCACATTTGGTCCCCATGTTCACAAAAAAACACATTTAGTCCCTTGTGTTCCAATAATTTAACACTTTTGGTCATTTCCGTCAATTTACCGTTATTAGTCCATTAGTTCAGGCAGTGATGGGCACACGCTTGATTCCGTTAGTTTTAACGGAAAATTGACGGAAATGACTAAAAATGTTGATGTTTTGAAACATAAGAGACCAAATGTGTTTTTTGTGAACATAGGAGACCAAATGTGAAATCGGTGCAAACTTGATGGACAAAAACTGTATTTTTCCCGAAAAAAAAACTCTTCAATCTTTTTTTTGTCCTATTTCCTAATTTTTCACAAAAAGGTCTTAAAACAATCTCGGAGGCGCTGCCCCTGAACCCCCAAAAATTGAAGTCCACCCTGTAACAAATTTCTAGGCTCGTGTCACTGGGACGGTTCAACAAAATGAATAGAACAAACTAGAAAATAACAGAAATGGCAAGAGGAAACTATAAGTGAAAGCGAAAAATGAATTTAGGAAGGATATCGCATAATACTATTTTCTCAAAGTTGCATTTGCCCTATGGTGGTTTCGGATTCGAACGAAAACAAAAATAAACACGAACGTACGGGTCAAGAAAAAATTACCTCTTAAGCATGACGCAACGTTTCTGTTGGCCATGTAGGGATAAACGAGCATCTTTTCTTTTTGCGTAATGCAAACGCCGATTAATCGGAGTAAATTTGGATGATTAGTAGCATTGCTCATTGCTTCAACTTCCGCTCGGAAATATTGCAGCTGTTTAAATCTCTTAACTGCCACTATAGAGCCGTTTTCTAACCGGCCTTTGTACAACAATACTGCAGATCCATTTTTGAAGAGGATATTTCTATCTGCAAAGTTATCGGTGGCAATCTTCAATTCGTTTAGAGAGAATATTCCAACTCCTGTGCATCCGCATTTAAAATACCCAAAAATAAGTAATGTAGGAACAATTATGTATACACATTACACAAGTCCAAATTAATTTTCGACGACTAACCGGGAATATTCTCCATCTGAGAATATTCTTGCTTCGTTTTCTTTCCTCGGTACCAATTAGCCGGAAATAGCTTACGTGTGATATTGGCTCCACCAGATTTGTCTGGCAATAAACTGTCAAATGTTATTCATCATCATATCACAAACTACATTAATTTTACGGAAAAACACAAACTAGACAAGACAGCCAAAAAAAAAAAAATAATAATAAGGGCAAATTGCACATCACCCCCTGTGAAATTTCTAATTTTCGCACTTTACCCCTCATAAATTTTAAAAGTGAATGTCCCCTTCCAAAATGTTATTCTTGTTGCACATTGCCCAGATAGGCAAAACTCCGATGGATTATTCATCGGAATTAAATATTTTTGTTGCACGTTGCCCCTTTAAAATGTTATTTTTGTTGCACAATGCCCTCCGAAAATTGACTTCTATGACAAAGTGCAACCAAAATTATATTTTGAAGGGGTATCCCTTTTTTGAGTTTTTAGGGGAGGGAGGTGCGAAAATGAGAAACTTATAGGGGTGAAGTGCATATTGTCCTAATAATAATAAGGACAAAATGAAGTGCATTTTATCCTAATAATAATAAGGACAAAATGCACTTCACCCCCTATAAGTTTCCCATATTTGCACTTCCCCCATAAAAATTCAGAAAAGAGATAACCCCTTAGAAATATTGATTTGGTTGCACTTTGCCCCAAAAACCAATTTTTGTGCAACAAAAATAACTTTTTAAAGGGGCAACATGCAAAAAAAATGCTCAGTTAGGTATTTACTTTTTAAAATTTTGAGGGGTAAAGTGCAAAAATTAAAAAGAAAATATAGGGGGTGACATGCAATTTGCCCTAATAAGGACAAAAGAAAAATGAACAAATTGAATTTTAATTAATGAAAATAGTAGATAAATTACAAACCTTGAGAGGCAGATGGCGGGTTATTAAGTTGCAGTGGAGCTTGTGGAGAACCAGATGTAGATGCTGCCCATCTGTTACTACTGGAAAATATTGAAAAAAATAATCTTCAATTTTGAATACAATCAAAGATCTCTATTTTACAATTCAAAAAAATAAATTAATAATAATAAAATACTCGAGAAGTTGTTGGTTGAAATGATCATTGTCATCATCTGATGAATCAATGGTGCTGATGCTCGGGGTCCTGGAGTGAGAGTGGAATAGTTCCCATATCTGTTGTTTACGAACAACCGCCGTCACTAACCTCTCCCAATTATCTCTAGACGAGTACATCTCTCTAATCTCTCTCTCTCTCTCTCTCTCTAAACTCTCTCTCTCTCTCTCTCTCTCTCTCTCTCTCTCTCTCTTTCTCTTTCACCTCTGCTACAGCGTGTAATTAACTCTTTAACATCAACTTTTTCAGCTATTCGTTTTGTCATTCCAATTAGGACAAAATGCACTTCACCCCTATAAATTTTCCGTTTTCGCATTTTTCACCACATAAAAGAAAAATAATACTCCCTCATCGAGATATTATTTTGATTGCACTTTGCCCCACTAGCCAACTTTTGGAGTTCAACAAAAATAACATTTTATAGGAGCAACGTGCAAAAAAATAGTGTTTTTAAGGGGCATCATGCAACAAAAATAACATTTAAATGGACAACGTGCAATAAAAATACTCAACTACGGTGAATAATCCATCGGAGTTTTGCTATTGGGGCAATGTGCAACAAGAATAACATTTTGAAGGGGGGCATTCACTTTTAAAAAACATTGAGGGGGTAAATTGCAAAACTTAGAATTTTACAGGGGGTGATGTGCAATTTGCCCTTCAAATTAACTTTTTCAAAGAGACGAAAGGAAAGGAGAAACGCGTTATGTTGATATGTTCTGCCTCCCACCTTATCCACAATTTAAAATTCAACGCATCTTAAACTAAGGAGGCTAAAATTCATTTTAGCCCCTGATGTTTAGAGTCGAAATCCAATTTGTCCCTATGTTTCTAAATTTTGTCAATGTCATCCCTGGAAATCAAATCTTTTTCAATAATGATTGTGTATATTTTACACAATTTGAGAAACAAATTAAAATAAAAAAAAAAAGAGAGATTGTCAAATGTCTATTAATGTTGAAGTTAACTAATTATGAGTCAACTAATCAGGAGCTCTGACGACCTGCGGTCGGAAAAATAAAATTTAAAAAGAAAAAAAGAAAAAAGACAAAAAAATATCAACCAATGCCCATAGCTTCGATGACCTGCCGCCGGAAAAAAAAAACCTGATTAAAACGGTAAAATGACCTAGCACATCGAATCGGGTAAAACGGGTATAAACTAGAAAATATTCCACATAATGTAGAATATTCTATTAAACTTGACACCACAAGGGTAGAAGTGTAAAAAAATTCATACTTGAGGCGGTATTTATAATTACCAAAATAGAACAGTTTTTTAGGTAATTAAACCTTACTTTAGGGTGGCCGTAATTTACTCCTAGGATAAATGGCCAACTCCAATGAGTATAAGTTCCTCAAAACGTAATCAAGCCATTCTCAAACAAATTAATGGAAGTTGTCTCTCCTCTCTTGTTTTGTGCTGTTCATAAATTGATATTGGGTAAATCATATTAGGCCTACGTTGATGGCTAGAATAGAACAAGGGATACCGCACAAAGACTTGACTAGATTTCTATTTAATTTAATGATTAAAAATAAAAATATAAAAGTTATTTGCTCTGTTTGGGATTTGAAAAAAAAATCGAGATGGACCAAGTTTTCTGTTGTTCTCCGTTGTCCTCATTCTAGTGGTCAGTTTAGGTTGTTCCGCATATATTAAGAAACTAATAAATGTACATGAATTATATAAAATTACTGAAGTATACCTTGTTATTAATTGATTTTCAACAAATTAATTAAGAGTGATAAAATGCAACATCGAAAAAGAAAAAAAATAATTAATGTCTCATTTGAATTTTAAAGTGCAAATAATTCGATTTTTTCTTTCAAGGCAACAAATAATATGGAAAGGGGATAATAAATGGCAAGGGGTGGACACATGTGTGGGAAGTTAGGTGCTACATCTGGTTTTTTCACTAGGTGAATTTAGATCATAGATTTAATTAAATAACTATTCACTAACCACACATACATATGGGTGTGTGTGGGGTTACGTGTAAACCTACGGTTCAAACTCACCGAGTATAAATAACCAGGTACAACATCTAATTTCTCGATCCTAGTTACCGTTTGCAATTTTAATAAACTCAATATTAAAATATTACTACATGCTAATTTATGAACTAAATTATAGTAATAGTAGTACACTACGCACACAAATCGATTTTAAATTTCAAATATTGAGTTCTTAATGTGTACAAATTAGTGACCATAGGCAAGACCAAGTCCACTATCTTCATTGACGAGGTCAAAACTCACTTCCCCATAAACAACTTGTTTAATTTAATACCATTTAATGGGAAAAATACATTTTCACCCCTCAAGTTTACATCAATTCCATATTTAGTCCCCATGTTCACAAAAAACATATTTGGTCCTTCATGTTTCAATAAATTAACACTTTTAGTCATTTCCATCATTTTACCGTTAACTTGCGGTGATGTGCATATGCAATTGATCCCGTTAGCAATAACGGGAAATTGACAGAAACGACTAAAAGTGTTGAATTTTTAAAACATGGGGGACAAAATGTAATTTTCGTAAACATGAGGGACCAAATGTGAAATTGGTGCAAACTTGAGGGATGAAAAGTGTATTTTTCCCACCATGTAATGCCTCAACTTCACTATAAATACATCTTAATCACACCTACATACAATCACAAATATATAGCCTTATCCTCAAATTTAATTTGAACTACCAAAATGGCTCTCTTCAAGTACTCTAAATTACCAATATTTCCAATCCTATCCATTTTTCTCTTCTTCGGATACCTCCAAATACGGGTTACCGCACAGGCATGCGGCTGCAGAGCAAACGAATGCTGCAGCCAGCATGGCTACTGCGGCACAGGGGAAGTGTACTGTGGCAACGGCTGCAGAAGCGGCCGTTGCCATGTCAGTAGTACCGGAAACAAAGTTTCCGATACTGTGACGGCTGCATTTTTCAACGGGATTGCTAATCAGGCCGGTGGAGGATGCGCGGGCAGGGGATTCTATACCCGTGCTGCATTTCTAGAAGCTGCCCGTTCTTATCCGCGTTTTGGGGGAGTGGGATCCGCCGATGACTCTAAGCGCGAGATTGCAGCGTTCTTTGCGCATGTCACACATGAAACTGGACGTAAGTTTTTGCATACAACGTTAAAAGAGTTATCTTTATTTATTTTTAATATAATCATCAATATTGAAATAATAATATATTTATACACATCTATATATATATATATATATAAACTATAGTTTTCTACTTTATAATGTCAGCATACTTACATACTTTTTTGTTCCTTTCTGCAAGTATTCCGTTTCTTTTAAGATTATAGGGTCTAGACAAGTCCAACTGGTCAAATAAATATAAATTCAACTCAAGTTAGTCACAAAAATATTTTTTTATTTTCGAATTTGTGATCTTATTCTATTTCAAGAACATTTAGTATTAGTAGAAAAATATCTTTTTAATACGAATCTATATTAAAAAGCCGTTACAAAATGTACATTTTATTACTGCGACAATCTGGGGGTGGTACTACATGCTAGGATTTACTGTAGCGAAAAAAGTATTTGCTACGGCTGTTTATCGTAGCAAAGCTTTTGTCACGCTCGTGTTAGCTATGGGGAAAATTCTTAGTAAAATTGTAGCAAAATGTTTTTACTACAAATTAGCTATGGACTAAAAGTGTTGAATTTTTGAAACATAAGGGAATTAATGTGTTTTTGTGAACATTGAGGACCAAATGTGAAATCAATGCAAACTTGAGGGATGAAAACTGTATTTTTTTCATTATTAAATTGAATGTATAGAGAATTCACATCCTGCTCAAATCATGTCCCTCCCCTACTAACCCAGTTTTGTAACGTACAAAAATCGAATGCAACATGAACATTAACTAGTACTTTTATTTCAATATATATATCATTCTTGAAAAGTTATATATAATTTGTTTGTTGCAGATATGTGCCACGTCGAAGAAATAAACGGACCGTCAAAGGCAGCGGATTACTGCGACAAGCAAAACAAGCAGTATCCATGCAAAGCGGGGAAAGGTTACTACGGTCGAGGCCCCATACAACTATCGTGGAACTACAACTACGGAGCAGCCGGTGAAAGCATAGGATTCGATGGTCTCAACAACCCTGAAATCGTGGCCACAGACCGCGTGGTCTCGTTTAAGACAGCGTTGTGGTTCTGGATGAATGGATGCCATAGTATTATGACTTCTGGAAAAGGATTCGGAGCTACGATTCGAGCAATAAACGGTCCAAAAGAATGCGGCGGAGCGAATCCGAGCACGGTTAGTGCTCGAGTTAAGTACTATAGAGACTATTGTAATCAACTCCGAGTTGATCCTGGAACTAATCTTAGATGCTAGGCTGGATATTGTATTATTGTGTTTTGATTTAATTTAGAGATTAATTAATTAATTAGTAGTTTGGGTTAATCAGTTTTTGATTTTGATGTAGTGAAACTTTTTGTTTTTTTTGTTTGTACGTCCCTTTGTTTGTATTGGTTCACGAGTAGGAGGATTTGTTATATATGTAATATGTTATTCAATATAGACAAAATGGGTGATTTTCAATACTATATTTTATTTTATTTACGACAAAATTTACAATATAAATTAAAAAGCTGCCATTGATTTTTGCGTGGTCTCGTATTGATTTTGCGTGGTCTCGTATAGAAATTCAATTAAAAAGCAGTTTAATTCGCAATTATTTGGATTCTCTCGCGTCGCTTATGACCATAAATACTTACGATGTTGATCACTCAACAACAAAAACTCTACTCTACCAACAAAAAAAATAAACAATAAAAATAAACCACCAAAGAGGGGAAAGCAAAGGACAAGTTCCCAACACAAGACTACTACGATTTTTTCCCTTGACACGACCCATTTCGACTTGGCTCCCACATCGACTCGAGAGTAGGGCTTAATGATATATCTAATTGGGTCAGTCCAATGGACCTTCAATTTCTTAAACCGAGCTACGAACCCAAGTTTGAAGACCAGTACGACGTAGGCCCAATTACCTTCAAATAAAGTTTGGGCCCGACAATTACAATCCATTAATTCCAACCCGACAAGCTCAATATAAATAAAGGATATAATTCATTTGATAAGGTACGCTCAAGATTCTAGCAAGACAACTCTGAATTCTCTCTACAACTTTTGCAATCTACACGTCTGACTTGAGCGTCGGAGGAGTTTCGCCGGATCAACCCCAACTTACTTTACGTGTTCTCTGATCATAAGTATCTCGAGGTCATCAAGCTCGTGAGCTAGTGATCTACTTTGCTCTTCCAGCTCATCCTACTTCAACTACATCAGGTGATCTATCTCCAGCATCATCATTTAAAACATAATTCGCTCTTTGAGATAAATTAATACTACTTTTAAGGAGAGAGGAGTGAGAGGTCGAGGTGGGAGACAGATCAGAAATATGTGAGGAAGAGGTCACAGAGGTTGCCGCGGAGGGTGACGGCGGAGCGGGGTGACAATTTCCAGGACGTACCACTTGTTGCAGACGAGGCCGTCGGAGTAGTGGCCGCGGACGTCGAGCACAGAAGCGATTATTTTTTTTCGCGAAATTTGGATTAAATTGGACGTTAATCGACTATACTGTCATAGTCAATTAATAAATTAAATCAACTATGTTTCATATAATCGATTTATTATTTTTATGTCTAATATACGCTTTAATATTTGAATCAACTATAGTCGGTTAATAAATCGACTATGCAAACAACATCATCTATTAGCGTCCAGTTTAATCCAAATTTTATGAAAACACATAAGATACATTAGAAAATCGCGAAAAAATGTAAGTACCGTTTTCTCAAATTATGTTTTTGAGGAAGTCTTACCTTACATAATTTTTCCAAAGGGTAAATTCCACTTTACCCCATTGTACTCTGCCCAAGAACCACTTTACCCCCTCGTACTTTTAATTTCGTCGATTTACCCCCTTGTACTTGTACAATTTCCCAATACAACCCTCTTTGTGAATTTTTTTCGATTTTGACTCTGACGCCATTTGGTCAAGAGTCAAAATATTGACGTAAATATTGATTTTTTTCGATTTTGACTCTCGAGATTAGTTAAGAGAAAGTTTCACACATTCATATATTTTTTTCTTTGCACTGCGTGGAATTGATCAATTTTTGGGTCTTGATTTTTACTAGGTGTTCAATTTGGGGATATCTTGGAAGGGGAAGTGGTGGGAGAAGAAGAAATGACAATATTGACGGAGGAGAAACGACGCGTTATAGGCAGTAGCAATTTTGTAATTTACGGAGTTGACCAAACGGCGTCAGAGTCAAAATTGACAAATGTTGAAAGAAAGGGTTGTATTGAGAAATTGTACAAGTACAAGGAGGTAAATCGGTGAAATTGAGAGTACGAGGGGTAAAGTGATTCTCAGGCAGAGTACAAGGGGGTAAAGTGGAGTTTACCCTTTTCCAAATGAGAGAGTCTTGCTAATTTTTCCAAATTTATATTGTGGTGTTTGATTCAATTTAAAGCTATTTTGTGGTTCAATGTATTTTCTTTTAAGTTTCAATTTAATATATAAAACAATGACATATTTAATTATTTTACGATTACAAGAGCAATTTATGTTTGGGGATTATTTTGTAGACCCCCCTCATTTCCAAATTATATAGAACTAACTATCAAGTGGATTACACTCTAGGTGAAAACCCCCTCATTTCGAAAATATTTTGACATACCCCCTTGGGCTACCCTGAAGTACCTATAATACCCTTCTAAAATCAGTTTTAACCCTAGCCACTCACGGTCTCTCTCTTCTTCTCCCAGGTTCAAAATCCCGCCTCTACAAACCTCTCACCGGCGAAATTGCTTCCCGGAGCCATAACTCTCTCTCCGGTGGTCGGAATTCGATGGTTTAACTACCGTTGGATTCCTCTCGTCGAGCTCTTTCTTTTGGTGGTGATTTCATTCAGTTTCGAGCGCGGATCTGTTTCTGCAATTTTTTTTCATTCGAAGACGGTGGTCTTGCCGGAGCTTTATTTTGTGCTCCACCCGTCGAAATTTGACGGGTCATCCACCGTTGGATTCCTCTCGTCGGGATCTATATTTTGATGGTAATTTCGTTTATTTTTATCTTTTCAGATTTATTTCTATATTTTTTTGCATTTCCCAACAATAACCTCTCTCTCTATCTCTCGATCTCTTAATAATGTTTGGTGATTTTTGAGTGTTTTGATGTTTTTATTCAAATTTGTTGATTTGCACTAAAGTAATTTCTTTTTGTTTTGATTTTGCAATTGCAGCTTAATGAAGGCCATTGATCCTTTCCTTGAAGGTGTCAAATTTTTATTTTTTTAAGTTACATCAGATCTGTTCAGCAGACTGTATACATTACTATACATTACTATAGTAACATGTAGTTATATATGCGTATATTTATGTATTTTCGTTTTGTATTTTATTGGTTCTGATGTGATTTATAATAAAAATATTTAAATTTGTAAATTTTTGTTGGGGTTTTATGAATTTATTTTGTACAAGTCAGTATTCGTGTGTGTATACAATTGATCGACCAAAAATATGGGGAAAAAACGAACATAACTATGAATTACTATAGGTAGTTACATGTAGTTATTTTCAGTACTGTAAACGTATTGTTTTGAAAATTAAAAAAAAATTAAAAAATAAAAATAAAAAAAATAAAAAATAAATAATTTTTTTTATTTTAAAAAAAAATTAAATATATATATATATATATATATATATATATATATATATATATATATATATATATATATATATATATATATATATATATATATATAACAAACAGATTTATAAAAAAAAAATAAAAAAAAAATAATAATAATAAATAAATCAGCGAAAATGATAAATGCAGGACCATAAATGCTGAATGCAGTTTGGCCGAAAATTGCACATAAGGGTAGTATAGTACTTTCGCGTCCCCAGGGGTATGTCAAAGGATGATTTGGGCTTGGATTTATCCCTAGTTTATTTGGTGGCTAAGGGGTTATGTAAAATAACCCCTTATGTTTGACCATCAACATTTCTAGAGACTCATTGACGTCAAATGTAAATAATTAAATAATGTTCATTGACTTCTCAAAAAAAAAAAAAAAAAAAAAAAAGAAATAGATGACCGGAGCCTACAACCTTGGACTACACTACAAGTCATAAAATAATTATTTAGTTTCCAGATTTTCCAGTTAGTTGAAACTTGAAACAATCAAAGATGTTAATTTAAATAACAGTATGTGTTTGAGATGAATACCACGGTAAAATGGTGTGGGAAAGTCGGGCAAGGGGCTTACGATTTTGGGACCCTACACGAGTTTTCTTTTAAATGGAGTAAGAAAATCGGTCACATCTTAGATTGCGACGATGATTTATCTCAGAGAGTAGTTCAATAGCATGTTCTATATAAAAATCTGTTTCTAATGGATTTTCTTCAGATCAGTAAAGGAATTATCCGTCATTAAAGCCCTTCTGTAATTATTGGGAAAAAGATTATTTTTGGTCCCTCATGTTTAATCGACTATGATTAGTAGCCAATTAAATTTAACCGCTACGTTTTTTGTTTCATGTTTGAATTCCAAAACTTTTGTAGGGTTGGTTGTTTGAATTATTTTTTGTTGAATCGTGTTCGCTTTCATTGACGGTATTAGAGTTGTTCTTGTTGCATTCAGTACTCAAGTTCATGATTCAATAACAATTTTAGTAGTCAGTTCCTTAATCGACTATGTTTTAGTTAATAGTCCATTAATACACCTGAAAAGTTAACAAAACGAAAATTGATTTTAAAAAAAAAAAAGAGAAGGAAAACCAAATTGGGCATGGGAGTAGTTGGAAGAAGATAATGGAAATGCAATTTTGGAATTAGAGAGAAAGTCAAATGAGAATGGGTTTATCTCAAAGAGTGAAATATGATTTAGGTCGACTTATTTAAATTAAAAAAATAATCATCCCGCAAGGGATGACCTACCGGTTGGAGTAAGTAAGCATGTGTCAATTTACCATGGTTCGTATACCATTGCCAACGGCCGCTAGATCGAGCTTGTCACACATGGTTAGCCTAATATGGGGTACGTCAGCTCGGATTCCTTCAATAAAAAAAAATATATAATAAAATAAAACAATTTCCAAACATTTCAAATATACATAGTTTTTGTTGAGAGGGTTGAATATAGATAATTAATACACTAATTTCAAAATATAATTTTCAACATTTCTGAAATTGGAATCTATTTTCAATTCCAAAACTAGTAACTTCTTCCAAAAACATTTATATATCAACATTTTTCATCATGACCCTCTATATTTTATTGCACACCATATTTGACCTCATTTTGAGACGATTAATCTACATGCCTTGAAACTTCATGCTTTCTCAAGTTTTCACTTATTATAAATAGAGGGCTTGTTTGGTTTTTTTTACTCATCTCATTCAAATTAAGCAAATATGAACTACTTTCCCAAAAATATTTCTTCTCTTCTAATCACCTTACTTGTAATCTCTTTATCCCCCTTGCTAGTTTATCCCCACAGCCACGAAGATTTCGTCGCATGCCTTTCGCATCGCTCGGCGGCCAATCAAGACCTAGTTTCGACCAACGTTTACACTCCGATCAACTCCTCATACACACCAACCCTACAATTCTCAATCCGAAACCCGAGATTTAGATCCTCCGCAACCGCCAATCCTCAAGTTATCGTCACACCGGTGAACGAGTCCCAGATTCCTGACATCGTGCACTGCGCGAAATACACCGGTTTGCAAATCCGGACTCGAGGTGGCGGCCATGATTACGAGGGGGTGTCTTATCAATCCCCGATCCCATTCGTCATGGTCGATTTGATCAAAATGCGCGAAATAGTAATCGACCGTGAAGAAGAAACCGCATGGGTTCAAGCGGGCGCAACCCTAGGCGAACTCTACTATAGAATCAGCCAGACAAGCAGAACCCTAGCCTTTCCGGCCGGAGGGTGCTTCACTGTCGGGGTGGGCGGCCACATTAGTGGAGGCGGCTACGGCGCCTTGATTAGGAAATTCGGCATTGCAGCTGAACACGTTGTCGATGCAAGAATAATCGATGTTAACGGAAGAATGCTCGACCGTAAATCAATGGGAGAGGAGCTCTTCTGGGCCATCCGAGGTGGCGGTGGGGGTAGTTTCGGGATTGTCTCTGCATGGAAGATGCAGTTAGTTCGGGTTCCGGAGACCCTAACCATATTCACGGTGAACAGAACGCTCGAACAGAACCTCACCAAACTCGTACACAGATGGCAGTACGTGGCTCCGAATCTTCCAAACGATTTATTCATCGCCATGGTGATAAGAAACGTGAACACAACCGGTGGAAACAGAACAGTACAAGCTACGTTCATCTCACTCTTCCTAGGTGGTGTCGATAACTTACTTCCACTCCTAGCCGACCGATTTCCGGAGTTGGGTGTGCGAAGAGAAGATTGCACCGAAGTAACATGGGTTCAGGCGGCCATGGTATTCGGCAACCGCATGCCGAACGCTTCAACGGAGGTTCTCAGGACGAGGGCGCCTTACACGAATAACCCCTTCAAGGCGAAATCCGATTACATACAGGAGCCCATACCGGTGCACGGGTTCGAGGGTTTATGGAAGTTGTTCGGAGAAAAAGAAGCCAAGTTTGTCGAGTTGAACTGGGCTCCGTACGGCGGAAGAATGTGGGAAGTTCCCGCGAATGCGCTTCCGTTTCCTCACAGGAGAGGTAATCTATACAAAATACTTCATTTGTTGTATTGGGACGAACCGGGGAGAGAAGCGTCGGAGAGGCACGTAAACTGGATGAGGAAAATGTACGCTTACTTAGAGCCGTTCGTGTCGAAGAATCCGAGAGGTGCGTATATTAACTATAGGGATTTGGATATAGGAGTGAATAACAATGAGGGAAACACAAGCTATGCACAAGCTAGTGAATGGGGTCTTAAGTACTTCAAGACTAACTTCAAGAGGTTGGTTCGGATCAAAACGATGGCGGATCCGACGAATTTCTTCCGACACGAGCAGAGTATTCCGACTCTTAGGTCGAAGAGGAATCATTAGAGATGACAATTGAAATTCATTTTAATTTGAATGCTAAGTATCAAGTTCTATGATAATTTGATTTATATTTATTTGTATGCATAATAAGTCTTTCTTGACATTATTCCTATTGAGATTTGGTATTGTATTTAATGTAACATTAAATAAATTATTTCATTTTTATATTTTTCTTTGCAATAAATTATTGAATAATTGAAAAATGGTGTTATGTTGTTGGAATATATATATATATATATATGGTAAAATAGTGAAGAATTGCTGCGGAGAAGACTAATAATATTATTATGAAACGTTGAACATTGACGAGTAGTCCTGTAGAATTGGTAAAATAATTCGTGTTAGAAGACCAAATCATGATATTGGTTTTACTATATTCACATCATCAATTCGTTAAAAAGAATTAAGAAACATGTACACTTTTTTTTTTTTAAGTTGGCGGAGTCGTGAATACAGTTGAAGCCTTGCACTTGAAATATTTGAAATAAGTGGCTGTGGGATTCGAACTCTGATGCCATGTTGAATAAGTCAATCAAAAGGTTAAGTTGTTAGTGAAATGTATCGTTTAATATTAATATCTCCAACACGGAGTTCAAATTTTGGTCGGAGGTGAGCCCGCAACGCCGTTTCGGGGTAGAAATAGAGACTGATGTTTTCTGGTGAGGAAGATGTCGGAGATGGTGGGAAGCTGGTTGGAGTGAACTTTTTTGCTTATTTTGGAGAGCTAGCCTTTTTGAAAATGTTAAGGGTAGAACTGAATATTTTTGAAAACTTCATTTTGGGATAAATCTGTAATTTTTGAAATTTAGAATTTAAAGGGCATTTTGGTCCTTTCTGGTAAAAAATACACCTTCAGTCGCACAATCCGCATTTGGAGCACAACATTAGCTGGCATGGGCCTTGTTGCCTTTGACTAATTTTTATAGGGGGTTTATTGCTATATTTCTTAACACGATAGTTTTTTTAGCAATTCAAAATTACATGAGGAAACCCTTATACATATCTTAAAGAAGGTATAAGTGCAGCTAACTAACCTAACGAACAAGCTAATGTAACCAGTTAAAACATTACACGTGTATAAGCATAGAATGAGCTGGAATATTAAGTATATTCCAATATGGATTGGGGAGAATCAGAAAAAAAATTGAAAGGGAAGGGGTTTAATAATTTTTGTTTCTTTTCTTCGTCGCCATTTAAGCAAGGAGTCGGCGGTCCTTCGGTTTCACCTTCTGGGTTTTTTGCTGGAAAAAGTCGCAATGAAATGAAGAAGTGGGGCTGGGAAGATGGCTTTTTTGGAAACATGAAGGACTGAATTGAAAATTTTCAAAACTTCACTTTGGGTCTGAAACTTTTGGGGTCAATCTATAATTTTAAAAATTTCTAATAAAAGGGTATTAAAGTCTTTTTAGGTCAAAAAATGCATCCCACTCATCATACATGGCGAGTGTAGGGCACGATAAGCTGGTAGGGACCTTTTTGGCTCTAACTAATTTTTGTAGGAGGGTCTTTAGACTCTTTACTAATATTTCAAAACAGGGTGTTTTTTTCGGCAATTCGAGACTACACAGTGGTGGTAAGTGCTAATACCCCGTAATATTAATCCAAACAAAAAACATAATAGAGTTTTATTTTACTGCAATCAAGATACTCTACATCTCTTGGATAATTCATTACACCAATACATTTATTTTAGGAAGAAGCAAATTACTAATTCTTCTCACTACTTGTGGAACAGACTTTTATTTAGATTTTGGTTCACTAACAGATTAGCACCGAAGATTAGTTCCAGGGTCAACTCGGAATTGACCACAATAGTCCCGGTAATAATTGACACGCGCCGTGACAGTACCCGAATTAGCCCCATTGCATTCAAGATTGCCGTTAATAGCCCGAATTGTGGCCCCAAAGCCCTGTCCCGTAGTAATAGGCCCGTGACAAGTTCTCATCCAAAACCAAAGGGCTGTTTTGAAAGAGATAACTGGATCTCTGGCTACGATCTCGGGATTGTTCAATCCATCGAATCCTATGCTTTGACCAGCCGGACCGTAGTTGTAGTTCCACGATAGTTGTAGCGGGCCTCTCCCGTAGTAGCCCTTATTCGGCGCGCATGGATATTGCGTGTTACTACTGTCGCAATAGTTTCGTGATTGGCCCCCCGTCTCGACTCTTGAGCACATATCTGAATCGAAAAATTATTATTATTTTGAAAAAAAATACTTAAGTCCTCCAAACGAGCCCATACCACATTATTGTAATAGATGAAAAAATATTCTTAAAAATAAGGGCAAATTATGGCAATCCCTGAGGCGGTATGGCCAGATTACAAAAAAACCATTTTTGTTTGGGTAATTACAGCTACCCCTTCTTTTAAATATTTTTACATAAAATTTATATATTCGGTTATTTACCGAACTAAATCGTATATTTAGTTCGGTAAACGGTATGAAATGTTGGCGTACCAAATTTAGGTTATGTTTTACTGAATTAACATCCCTAAATTTATCTCTGGAGGAATCTTTTCATAAGATAATACATAGTTGAGGGGTGACTATAATTATCCAAACATGAGAGAGGTTTTCGTAACTTGACCATAATTCATGAGTGGCCTTAATTTGCCCTAAAAATAATTATATCACAAAATAGAATACTCTATCATTTTCATAACATACGTCGTTTTAAATAATTAATACATCATTAAAATTCTAAACTGCAAATAACAAAACAAATCGCGAAAGCATTAATATATTCTACATTGAAAGTATTGTTATTCTCTTTGAACTTGAATAGGAATTCTTCGATAAGCCAACCCTAGCTAGTTCTTAGGGGGGGTGAGTGACCAACATTTACATTTAAGTGTATATATATAAAGGCCCTTTGTTTCATTAAATCTATTAGATATATATGTAGCTTAAATATGCAACATATTCATGCAAAACAACAAATTCATCGGCGTATAACGTAAAACTTACGTCCAGTTTCATGCGTGACATGCGCGAAAAACGCGGCAATCTCACGCCTAGAATCGTCTGCGGAGCCCGCGGTCCCGAAATTGGGATATGAGCCCGCAGCTTGGAGAAATGCGGACCGAGTGTAGAATGTCCGTCCGGGGCAACCCGATGGGGACTGGTTAATGATCCCGTTAAAGAAAGCATCGGTGACAATATCCGAAACCCTAACTCCGTTATTGCCGCCTGACGAGCCGAAACATGGCCCGGACCGACAACCGGTGCCACAATAGTCATTGCCGGTGCCGCAGTAGCCGAACTGGCTGCAGCACAAGTTGGAAGCGCAGCCGCAGTTCTGGCCGGAGACCCATTTTCCGGTGGCCAGAAGTAGGGCAAAGAGGATATAGATTGGTTGTGGGGATTTCATGTTTTTAATTGGTATTGAAAGAGAGTAATATTGGGTTGGTGTGGAAGGATAAGGCAGAACTTTGATTAGTATTTATAGAGCAATGAGGATATTATTGCTAGTGTTGAATGTTGACTTTTGACTTTAAGGGCTTTGATCTTTTGTTTTTTTTGACTTTAAAGGCTTTGATCTTTTTTATTTTCCCTCACCACCCTAAAAATAGGTAATTAATTGCCTATTGAAGTTTTAGTGGGAGATAAGCGCATCTTCAATAGAGTCTCCAAATTCTATTTTTGAGACCCAAATGGAGACCTGGTAAAATTTTACAGTCTCTCAAAAAAATCCACAATGGGAGGGCTCTATAATTTTGAGTCTCTAAATCATTATGTTATGTAGTAATTTGTTTATGGCCCAACTTTTATTCATATACGAGATTGTAGACACTTAAATTTTATTTGAACAATCTTAATTATTTTTAATACACATTTTGATCCAAAAAATGAAAATTTCTGAAAAGATATGAAATATTGAACTACAGCCGTTTGAATATGATTTCAATTGATCTCGTCCATTAAATTATCTTATTCACATCTCCTCCATGAAAAATTCTGAAAGTATCTGAAATATTGAACTACAACCATTGGATATGATTTCAATTGATCTCGACCGTTAAATTTTTATATAATCATCTTATCCACATCTTGATGATCTTATTCAGATTTTCATTATCTTATCCAACTATAATCTGTTAGATTGAGTTTTCATGTTCAATCTTGGCCATCCAATTCTTATCAATTATCCATTCAACTATAATCTATTAGATTGAATTTTCTCGTCTCTAATTTGTACGCAAGGCCGTCCCTGAGATTTTGGGGGTCGTAGGCGAGATTTGAAGATGGTTAAAAAATGGGGTCATTCTACAATCTACAATGAAAACTCATTTTTTTCTTCTAAGAAGAGGATAAACTTTATGTAAACTCGTTTTTGTAATATATATAACCAGTGGCAATTAATTAGGCTAGATACTTGTGATTTACTCGCTTTAAAGTTTCGGGGGTTCGGGGGCAACGCTGGTGATTTTCTTTAAGGATAATTTGTATTAAGTAGCACTGAAACGAGTGAATATATAAAAAAAAAAATAACTAATACATTGTAAATTTAATAATTAGGGGCCCTATGACTATAGGAATTATAGAAACAAGTAACAATCGTTGATTATATATATATATGATTATATATATATATATATATATATATATATATATATATATATATATATATATATACTAGCATTTTCTCCCGTGCGATGCACGGGATAACATTTCAAAAGAGAAATTAATGATTAGTTTAATACATGAGAATAACAATTAGAATAAATTTATTAGTGGTATCAGTAACAACATTAATGTTTATACAAATTTAATAATACAAACCCATTCGATAAAAAATATATAAACTTAATTGTCATAATATGAATTGATCATTAAATAAATGAAGCAAAGAAGAATTAGAGAAAATAGACTAGATGATAGGAGATAAAAATAATAATAACAATTACAAATATATAGTATTGTGGATTAGGACTGTGCTAGTCGAGATTTGGTGTGAATTAATTAGAAAAAAAAATGACTGCAAAAAAATAGTGTTTTTTTACAAATATGCCATTAGAGTTTCTTAGGTTGCTCTAGTGTTTCTTTCTTTTATATATAAGATTTTTGAATTAGGGTTCTTAATAATTATATATATAGTATATATTTTTTTATGAGCAAATGTTAGTATATAAAGGGTATAAATAATTTTGGAGGCCCTAAATTTTTAAAAAAATCCGAGGATCCTAGGCGACCGACCACTTACTTCGCCTCTCCTCAGAACCGGTCATGTTTGTATATATATATGTGTGTGTTCGGCAAGCTTATAAGTTATATTGCTTATAGGGTACGGTAGGTATTTTTTGATGTTCATAATGTATAATTAATAAATATTATTTTGAAGATACGTTAATCAAGTATTTGAATCAATGTTCTTAAAACCGGACCGGACCGGCCGGTCCAACCGGTTCAACCGCGAACCGGTGACTGGTCCGGTCCGAGTCGACCTCAAAACCCGTAAATGCAAAAAAACCGGGTCAACTGCTAATGAACCGGTTCAACCACGGTTGAACCGGCAAAAATCGGTAAAAACCGGCCCCAAAAACCGGATTTATGCAAAGGGAGAAAAAAAAAAGAAAAAAAAACTACCTATAAACATAAACTGTAAATTCTTTACACTTCTCTTGGATTTTTGATTTGTTAGAGGTGGTTCCAGTAGAATATTAACACCACATGAATATAGATAATGTTTGTGAGGAGTTGGGGAAGGCAAAAAAGAGAAGAAAAAAATTGGAAGTGGACAACATAGAGGTGGAAAACGAGGAAGGAGAGAGAGGGAGGCGGTGGGTCTGGGTAAATAATGGGTTTCTATACTTATATATTAGGGTTTGGTGGAGTAATTTAAATAGTATTAATTGTTGTTTAATGTTGTTTTATTACTTTGTATTAATTTTTTTTTTTTTTTGAATTTTACTTTCTATTAATACTGCATACATATAAAATTACTATCTAAATGTATATATTCGTAAATAAAATAGAATTAGTAATTTATTGTTAGATATTTTATGTTTTTTCTTATAATATTTCAAAAACTTATATTCGTTAATTTTTAATGACATATGTAATGTCTAAATTATGCTATTAATGTTTCAAAATTTATTTCTATTTTCTTTACGCTTTAATTTTATTGTGAATAATTAATAAATTACTAAATTAGAGTTTTTGGTTGACATTTAATGAATAATATAATTATTGAATAAATATTTGTATAGTAATCATCTTAAGATTTATATATTAAAAAATCAAAAAAAATATATAAAAACCCGGTCGGACCCCGGTTGAACCGGTCCAACCGTGACCCAGTAGGTTGTCCGGTTCTATGTCCGGTCCGGTTTTCAAAACATTGATTTGAATACAGTAATTGATAAATGTGTTTGTTGAAAAAACTGAAGTTTTTATTTCGTGGTATTTGTTAGATATTTAAAAAATATATATTTTATTCTAAAAATATTATGAGTTTTAAAAAAAAAACTTACAATGAACAACTAATTTTAAATAAAAGATTTAGTATATATCAACTAGCCAAATTTTGATTCTCTTTATTCAAAATTTGACTGAGTTCGCATGGTCTTGGTCTTGGTCAACAGAGAGACAAATTATTAAAAAAAAAAAAAAAAAAAAGAAAGAAAAAGAAAAGTGAAGTCTTGGTCTTTGTCTGAAAAGCACTAATTGCCGAACACACAACCGAATAAATGCGCGGAAACCGTAGCGTCATTGACTTGAACATAGTGAAGTCTTCTATAGTGGTTTTGGCATTCGATCATTTCTACACAACTCTAATTTAGTTTAGGCCAAAGTCACTTTGCATCCTTGAATTATCTTTTAATTATAATAAAACGTATCAACTAATCATATTTTCTGGTTGAGCTTACAAAAATATTAAGGCATTAATTAATGTTTGGGGCTTTAAGATATAGGTCCCTTGTGAGAAACTTTATTAGAACTAAATGACAAGTCAAACTAAACATTTTCTTCACATCCTTTATAAATTTCATTCCAAAAATACCCCTCATACACAAAAAATAAAATTTGCACCAAGTAATATTTAAACTGTATTTATCATTTTCATTCTGCATTTAATATTTTAAATTTTACATCTAGCATTTTTGTTATTATTTTTTTTCGTCGATCATTTTCCTTTCTGCATTTTCGTATTTTTTCATAATTATAATAATCTATTTTTTCCTTTTTATTCTACATAATATTGAATATTATGATTTTTTTAAAAAAAATTCGGCCATAGTCATCTACAGAAAATTGTAGGAAAGTTGTAGTAGACCATAGTCACGTATAGACATCCATAGAATGTAGTAATCCGAAGTCACAATATTCTTAAAACTCTAACTCCTCCTTTGAATCCTAGCCGCTAGACACCATAGACACCCATAGACAACTGTAGATATGAAATCGAACGCCCTTTGAATCCTAGCCGTTAGACACCATAGACACCCATAGACAACTGTAGATATGAAATGGAACGCCAACGTCAAGCCGCTAAAGATATCACAAACCCCACCCACATTGTCGTCGCCATCCCCCACCCCCTTTATCGCTGCGTCACCGGCACCATCCCCCAACCACGAGGGCCGCAAACCAGCGAACGCCATCCTCATGCCCAACACCGCGTCACCATGTTCAATTATTAATTTTCAAGTTAGTAGTTAATTATTGCAATATTGTGTTCCAGATAACTTAAAATTCAAATTGAAATGAATGATTAGAAAAAAATAAATTATGAATATAACTCTCAGTTCATCACAAATTTAAAAACAAACAACTAAAAAAAAAAAAAAGCTCAACACTGCATAATTGAGACACTAGTCAAAATGGAAGTGTTCTATAATCATCATCTTTTTCCAACTTCATATGTTTATATCTACATATATATATGTATATATACTATGGCAGTTCAGAATCGGAGGCGTGTCCGGAACTTCTCCGTGTTCGTGGACTCATCGTCATCCTCGTAGTTGGCTCTCCGAATTCATACTCATCGCTCTTCCCGTCGGAGTATGCGACTCGATCTCCCCTTCGGCGTATCTACCGTCAAACATTTTTATCATTTTATTTTATTAATCTATCTCTATTCTCTCACACACAGACACACACACGAGAAAAATAATTACCTGGTTGTTTGGGGGGTTTTGACTTCCATCGATTTCTTCGACATAGAGATTTTACTGATCATAATTTCCGGGCAGCGACGATTTCCTCCCCGACGGCGAAGTGAACGGATCCTCCACCGGAACGATGCTCTCGTCGCAAGTCGAAGCCCCATCGCTTCCCGATTCAGAGTTCTCCCTCTGGCTCACGTTAGCCCTCTCCCTCTCCGTAACTCTATACGCAGACATCTTAAACGGAATCTGCCAAATCGACATCAAATTCGAGTTCCCAATCAACGGAAACCCCCTCACAATCCCCAATTCAATCTCCCCAAAATCAATCGGCGGCATCGGCGCGTCGATCTGGCTGTGCTCATGGTTCATCGCCAAAAACCTCTTCGCATAGTGAAAAACCCGGCCCTTGATTCGGATCCGTCGCCCAACATTTCTTCGTCAGATTCGTGATATACTTCGCCGCCCGTGCTCCTTCTCCCACGACGATGCCTCCACCACGACGCTCTTCGCTGCCCCTGCTCCTTCTCCCTCCGTCGCCGGCGACGGCGGCCTTCATGGTGCTACTGGAGAAAAAGAAGAGAGAGAGGAGAGAAAAAGGGAGATGGGAGCAAACGTGAGAGCGAGAGAACGGCGAGAGAGAACGTGAGAGAGAAACCGAAAGGAAGAAGATATTATATTTAGGGTATAAGGGCAAACTAGGGATTAAAAAAAATTAAAGGATGTGCCTCATATATTATTTGAAAATAGGGATTTAATTAAAAGATTAAATTAAAGGTTGTCATTTAGTTCAAATTAGGTTTGATTTGAGGGGCTCCTAGCATATTAACCCTTAATGTTTTCTTGTGCAATTAAAATTTTATTTCCACCTGTAATCTATGGAATATATAGGGTTTTTGTGCATAAGTCCCCAACCAAGCATCTTTATTATTCTAGGTTTAGGGGTTATATATTTTTCACCAATATGCCAATATTACCCCCAACCCATTATACCCAATTCTTAATTGTAACCCCAATTTAATCAATTTTGTCCACAAAAATCCAATTTTAACCACAAAAATCCAATTTTGACTTCTTTTTCTCAAAAACTTTTTTTTTTCAAAAAATTGTTTTTTGCTGCCGGATTCCGGCGTTGACTTTTCGATTATTTTTTTTTAATTTTTTTTACGTCCGCCGCTAAACGTTGGCCGTAATTGTGTTGTCACTGACATTAAATTAACATAATTATACAGTCAATGACAGTTAATTAACGTAATTGTACTGCCGTTGACAATACATTTATGTAATTGTTCTGCCGTTGACGGTAAATTAACGTAATATTATTATTTTTTATTTTTTGTTATTTTTTTTATTTTGTTTGATTTGTTGACAAGTCAACGTAATTATATTACTGTCGTTGACAGCAAAATAACTGTAAACACAATAATATTACTGTCAACAACATCAATATTATTATTTTTTTGGGTTTTTTGTTTTGTTTGAGTTATTCACGGAGTAACGTAATAATATTACTGTCTATTATTGTAATATTACTGTAAACACAATAATATTACTATGGTTGGCGGTAATATTACTGTTGTTATAGTAATATTGTTGTCAACCACATCAATATTATTATTTTGTTTGGATTTTTTTGTTTGTTTGAGTTATTCACGGAGTAACGTAATAATATTAATGTCTATTATTGTAATATTACTGTGGTTGACGGTAATATTACTGTTGTTATAGTAATATTACTGTCACTCACAGTAATATTAATTCTTTTGCCTTTTTATTATGTTTACATTTGTTGAACGGTCAACATAGTAATATTACTTTATTTCACAATAATAATGAGTTTTGTTGTGTTAATATTACTGTGCTAGAGATTAATATAGCAATATTGCTGTGTTAAACTGTAGTTTAGTTAATTTCACTGTGTTTAACAGTAATATAGTTAATATTACTGTCAATCACAGCAATATGGCTGTTTCAACGAAAAACAAAAAAAGAGTCAACGCCGGAAACCGGCTAAAAAATCCGGAAGAAAAAAAAATGAAAAGTCAACGCCGGAATCCGGCGGCAAAAAACAGTTTTTTGAAAAACCAAAAAAATATGAAAAAAAAAAGTTTTGGGGTCAAAATTGAATAATTTGGAAAATTTTGAGTCAAATTGAGGCTAAATTAAATTAATGATGAAATTGGAGCATATTAAGTATGAGGGGCTATTTTACTCTTTACCAAAAATCTGGACCATGTGTGGACTTATTTGTAAATGAGTTTTTTGTCTGGATCTCTTTATGAATAAGTACTCATTGATGGGTTTATTTGTAATCACCCCGAATATATATGTGAATTTTAGTCATTTGAGATATTTCAGCCAAAATAAGAAATACTGAGCATTCTCTCTCTCTCTCTCTTAAATTTTATTTTTTTTCAAAAAATATTATTTTCATTAATATTACTGTCTCCGACAGTAATATTACCGTCGGAGACAGTAATTTAACTGTTCGAGACAATAATTTTATTGTATTAAATAATTTTATGGTCTTGGCCTGCAATTTTGCTGTCTTCGACCGTAATATTACTGTCTTCAACCGTAATGGGACAATAATATTATTGTTTTGGGATTCAATATTATTCTCTCAAACAATAATTTTGTTGTTAACACGGTAATTTAGAGAGACAAAAAAAGTTTTAAAAAAAGTCTACACCAGAGAACCGTGCGGTCAACGACGAAATCTGGGCGGAAAAAAAAATTTCAGAACAAAATTATTTTCTAAAAAAAAATATTTTTCAAAAAATTATGAAAATGGGGTTATGTGATATATTTGTTCAAATTTAGGGTGAATGTGCAATATTGATGAAGTTAGAGTATAATTGATGGAATTTATGAAAATTATATTATAATGGGTATTTTAGACAAAAGACATGGGGATAGGTTTATTTGCAAGACTGTTTTTTGTCTAAACTTATGTGCATTTAAGTCCGTTGTCATGGGACTATTTGTCATTTGTCCATATATCAATCTTATATATAAAGTAAGAAACACTTGGGCAACCTAAGAAACCCTAATGGCATATTTATATTTTTTTAATATTAATTATTAGTCTTGCTTAGTGCAGTTGGATTAGATCCAAACAATAACATCCATCCATTTGCCTATGCAATAGTTGAGAGTGAGACAAAGGAGAGTTGGATGTGGTTTTTGAATATGCTGAATATTGATCTCAATTTTAGTGAAAATGAACACACATGGACATTCATGTCTGACAAGCAAAGGGGCTTGATTCCAGCCTTTGAAATATTGTTCCCAACTGCTGAAAATAGGTACTGTGTGAGGCATCTACACAGTAACATGAAAAGAGATGGTTTCACTGGATTGGCCATCAAATCAGCATTATGGGCTGCAACAAGGGGTAGAGTTGAGGAATTTCAGAGGAGAATGCAAGAGTTGAAGGTGATAGATGAAAATGCTTATATTTGGCTAGCCAAAAAACCTCCACAAAACTGGTCTAGGTCTCATTTCACTACCTACCCCAAGTGTGATATTTTGTTGAATAATATGTGTGAGTGTTTCAATAGTTTCATACTGGATGCAAGAGAAAAACCAATTATCTCTTTGCTTGAATCTATTAGAAATCTTTTGATGACAAGAATTCAGATAGATAGAGAAAAAGCACTTAAGTGGGATGATCCTCTCTGTCCTAAGATTAAGCAAGTGTTGGTGAAGACAATGAAATAAGCTGGAGAGTGCACTCCAATAAGGTCAGATGAGTGGAATTTCCAAATTATGGGACCTTCAACTCAGCATAGTGTTGATGTTAGAGAGAGGAGATGCAGTTGTAGGAAATGGGATCTCACTGGAATCTCTTGTAAACATACATGTTCTGCTATCTGGTGCATAAATGAAAATCCTAAATCTTTTGTGCACAATTGTTACAAAGTGGAGACCTATCTGAAATGCTATGAAACTCCTATATTTCCTTTAAATGGTCCTGAATTGTGGCCTGCCAGTACAATAGAGCCTCCATTGCCACCCAATTACACAGAGAAAGTAGGTAGGCCTCAAAGAGAGAAGCAGATGAGCCAACTGTTGCAAAAAATTCTCATAGGCTGGTTGGAGTTAAAAGATCAAACAAGTGCTGAACATGTGGAGGCACAAACCACAACTCTAAAACATGCAAAAAGAGGAAGTTTTCACAGGTTCAAGAAGGGAGCAAGGGTGCTGGTATGAGTGATGAGCAAGGAAACCAAAGGAATGAAGTTGAAGCTTCAACTCAAGCTTCAGTTTCAACTCCACAACTACCACAACCACCTATTCATACTGCAAAAAATAAAGAAAAATTTCAGGTTTATACTTGTATTATTTTTTTAATTTCAGTATCTCAATGTATATAATATATAAAATTTCAGTTATGCAAGCTATTTGTTCAAAATTGCAGGTTAGAAGACCTCGGAAGAAAATGACAGTAACATGCAGAAGGAACATAATTGGATCCTTTAAGGTATTTAAATTAATATTTTCATAATTATGTTTTTTTAATAAGTATTTGTATTAATTTATATTTTTTTTTATTAATTACAGCCAAGCCAATCTTCTCCAACAATCCAGTCTCCAATGATTGTGAAAGGAGGTGTTAATTTCATAACACTATCCAATTTAGCATCATCAATGACCAATCAACTTAAGGGAAACTCAGGCTCTGAAATTGGTGCAAGTTCTTCTAAGTCAGCCTCTGCATCCATCACAAATTCCAAGGCATATTCTAAGTCAGCCCCTGGTTCCAAGTCAGCCTCCAAGATGAAGAAGTGATCAAGTTTGATCAAGATTGTATTTTTGTTATTTTGTATGTTTGTTAGCTAGTTTGATGTTTGTTTGAATGTTTGAATGTTGGATGTTTGGCTGTTTAATGCTTGATGGTTTGTTAGGATTTGAACACAGTTGGTTTGTATGAGATGTTTTGATTTGTTTGGATTTTAACACAGTTGGTTTGTATGGGATGTTTGATGACTATTTCAAGTTATTGAATGTTTGATATTTGAATTTCAAGTTAATGAATAAGCTTCTGTTTTTGAATTATGTATATATAAATTCCATAATTGATCAATACATACAAGGTACTTGATGGAAACCAACATAATAGCTAGCAAATGAAATGACCAATACAAGAATCACTACCATATTCAAAAATTATTACCAAATTACCAAATTCACCATTACAAGAACTACTAACAACTGAAAATTGATCATATAAGAACTACTACCAAATTCACCGAATTTAAGAACTACAACCAAATTACCAAATCCACCATTACAAGAACTCTTAACAACTGAAAATTAACCATAAACAAAACATTACAAACAACATCCACGTACAAACAAAACATTACATAGACCCATTTATATGCCAATTTTCATGACATATATGGCAATGAACAGAAGTATGACCATAAAGACTCCAACTTGCAACTTCATCCTCTTATTGTACATTGCAATCAAACCCTACAGTTTCTTGGCTCTTTTATGAATAATCCTTCTTTTCTTTGCAAGTTCACCTTCTAGCTTGTTCAATTTTTCTTCTTTTTCTTTGTAACAAGCCACTTCACCTTCAACTTGGTTCAATATTTCTTCTTTCTCTTTGAAGCAAGCTAATTCACCCTCTAGTTTGTTCACTCTCCTAAGCAGTCCGGGGATAATCATCTTGGATCTACCACATATTTCAGGATCCAACCACTTGAATACACCACAGTAGGTTGGTTTCTGTAACGAATCCCAAAACTTGAACCAAAAGAACGTATTTTACCCCATAATTTGGGCAAGCTTGAAATAACAAATTCAATATACAGTAATGAACAAATAAAAGGAAAGCATTTTACCCCATAATTTGGGCAAGCTTGGTATCTTCTCCCTGGATTGTCTGGCGTCCATGACGTAATCACTCGCAAACGAAATCCACATTTACAATTGATTGTGTAAAATGTTGAATGAGCATCAGAGCTCGTTGAGGATGAGCTCCGACAGCCATAATTAGATCCTTTACTCATATTTTATGCTACATTGAGGTGAAATCGAAAACATTGAGGTGAAATCAACCCTACAAGGAGACTAATTACCAAAATCGAAAATTGTTCAAATATAACAACTTTGAGGAAACTTACCAAATCAAAAATCGTTTTGGAATTGTGACGCTTTAACTACTCGGACATTCATAAATATGAGAAGTCGATTCTGCTATTTTCGAATTTCACCTCAATTGAAGGATTCAAAATGGGGTTTTAGGGATTGGATTTACGGGTTCATTGGGGATATGGAGAATTAGGGATTTTAGAATAGAAATAGGGGAGGAGAATGACGTGTCGCTCCACATCACGTTTTGTTGGCCAAGTAGGCACTAGGTGTTGTACAGCTCGACATTTAACGGCCAAATAGACGTCACGTGAGCCACACATACTATTTCCGTCGAAGTTAGCTGCCGACGTTAACGGCAGAACATAAAGTGATCAAAAGTGGCAAGTTTGAGGACATATTTCGTGGATTGAAATGTTTGAGGACATAAATCGTTTTAGTGGTAAAGTTTAGGGGCATAAACTGTAATTGTCTGAACTTATGTGCATTTAAGTCCCTTGTCATAGGACTATTTGCCATTTGTCCATATATCAATCTTATATATAAAAGTAGGAAACGCTTGGGCAACCTAAGAAACCCTAATGACATATTTATAATTTTTTAATATTAATTATTAGTTTTTTTCATATCCTATTTTCCAGCTTTTTTTCCCTTAATGACCTTCATAACAAATCAGATTTGCATATTCGCTAGCAAAATTCTAATCCATTTGGATATTATATTTCTTACTATTTCTCTCTCTTATATCTTATGTGGATTTATTTAATACAATTTAATTATCATATATTTAAATTTTATTTCCTTTTACAATCGCGTGGGAGAATTGCTAGTAATATATTAAGAGACGATCCTTATCTCCTCCAGTTATATTCTTTCATATAACTGATAAATTCATGCAAATAATTTAATTAATATTTTTTAAATAATATATTTACATAGGGAGAAATTATAATTTTGGTCCTATAATTTGGTCTCTTTAGGGATTTAGTTCTATAAGTTGTTCTATTTCAATTTTACATGCAATAATTATGCAAAATTAGTATTTGTAGTCCTATTTCACTCGAACATTGAATTTTAGCCGTCGTTTAATGATAGACCTAACAAATCGCATAAATTTATTTATATGGACACTTAAAAATTATAAATGCTCCTCTAATTTGGTTTATAGATGTGTCGTCTCACATAATTAAAGTTCTACCAATGGTAAATTAGATGTCGAATTTATCAATTCCCAATCGTCCATATAAGTAAAATGCGTCAAGTTTATTTGCCGCGTCATAAAATTAAAAATCACGCAACACAGGACTAAAAATATTATATTTGCAAAGTTATAGCATCTAAAACTGAAACATGACAAGTTAGAGTGTCAAATACATAAATAAGCCAACATAGATGACCAAAACTACAATTTTCCTTATTTACATACAAGAGTTATCGTTGCATAAAAGTTCTAGTAAGGGTGAACCATATAATCAAGTTCCCCAAAAACCCTAAGTATCAACCTTATATATTTATTCTTCGTGTAAATAGTTTTCTATATATTTGATTGCAATAAACTGTACACCAAATCCCTTCGAGAATTGAATCTTGATTCCGATTTTCTTCGAGAACTTTCCGACAACAGCACCGAGACATGCTCTCCGAGAATCGCCGGACCCGTCAACGATCTTATCTGCATCTACGGAGTGTTAATTTCAACTCAAGGAATCGCGCTGGTCGATCTTTCTCGCGCGAAAACCGAGATAGTTCTCCCGAGGTATCCAATATTCGAAATCCATTTGGATCGAACACTTGTGCGCAATGTAGGACTCGGTTTCAACAGTAAGGCGAATGAATTCGTTGTGGTGCGATTGATGTCTTATGAATTAATAAGAGATTTTCAAAGCAATTATCGTGTCCGTGTCGATTTATATTCCGTAAAGCAAAATTCTTGGAGAAAATTTGAGCATGATCTCGGCAACGTAGTTATCAAGAAAGAAATCGGGTCGTGCCGGAATGGATCCCTTTGTCATTGGCTGGTACAAGAGTATGGTCGATTAATGTATATACTGTCGTTCGACTTTAACGACTTCATCTTCCGGAAAACCCCGCTTCCACCGCGTTTGTATTATCCCGGATTAGACGTGATCAAGCAAGAGAGAATCGAGGTTTTTGTTGAGGGTAACTCGCTTGCCCTATTCACTTACCCGACTTTAGGAGATGATTATGTTTTGGAGAGATGGGTTTTCTCTCCTTTTGGAGAAAAGGAGAAATGGACGAAATTGCCCCCCATTGGACCACTTTTGCAAGTGTCGAAGCCGGTGGCTTTGTGGGAGAATTACGGTCTTGTTTTGAAGTATTGTCACGACGGAAAGTACTTAGCTTATTACGATTATTCGACTCGAGAAGTAAGAAATATTGAGATTCCTCAGAAGAAGCATGATCATGTTAAGCTTATTGAGTACAAGGGAACCCTATTTTCACTACGTACACAAAAGTAGATTTTGTGATGGATTCTTAATTCACTTTATATGGATTTTAAACATTTAATATATATATAATTCAAATTTTAATCGAAATTTATCGTGTTAGTAGTGTTAAATTATAGTACATAATTTTTCGATTCATATTGTTGTGCACTCATGATCTCATTTAGAAGTCATCAAATGGTGACTATTTCCATGGGTGTATGAATGTTATTTTCTATTCATATATACAAAACGAATTAATTAGTTTATTTCCTTTGTCCATTGATTTCCAAATTTTCTGAAACTATGAAATTATCGATACTTTTGAAATCGGAATAGATTTTCTACATTACAAAAAAATTGGAATTTGTTGGAAGTATTTTTTTACTACGAGTAAAAAAGATAAGAAAAAGACTAATTCCGATACATTCCGTCTGACTTTCACTCCTGTTGTCATAGATATGATGTTCTAATTGGATGCATAATGTTCAAATCTGATGTTCTAATCGGGGGTTGTCTAACCCCCGATCGATAGGCATTTAACCCATTGATTTTCAGAAAATTGAACATCAAATCCTGTCGAGAATTGAACCTTGATGCTGATTTTGTAAATTACCAGCCCCATCACAGCGAGGAAATATTTCGTCCCAAAATTTGTGGACCAGTTAAAGATCTAATCTGCATCTACAATGTTTACGCGCTCGAAAGAGTCGGTCTATTCAATCTTTCAACCACGAAAAGTATGATAATTAACCCGACGTATCCAACATGCAATAGATATTTAGATACACTAATTGTACGCAGCATCGAATTCGGTTTCAATAATCATAGGAATGAATTCGATGATAGGATTATGGTAGCAAAAAATGTTGGAGACAATTGAATATTCATGATCTTGATCTGAACAACATGGTTATCAAGAAATCAAGTTAAGGTATATGCAAGCACTGGTAAAAAAATGGTTTTGTATTACAATTTTTTTTACTACGGCAACAATCCGTAACAAAATGTACATTTTTACTACGAATTTGGTACACTTTGCTACGGTTAATGCACTTACTGAAAAATCATTTGAGTCGAACTCGACTTCTGTAAGCAAATAATTTAAAGTACATAGTTGTTCGACTCAAACGTACCCTCTACTACTGCAGTATTTGTTTAGCCAAATCAAGTCGATAATGATCAAACTTGTACCAAAGGGCAAAATCTTTCATCCTCAGGACCCTCATTCCTTGCCATGTTAAGTTTTGATGAAGGAAGTACTCGATCCTAGGCAGGGGCGGACCCAGGGGTTTTTTCTTCGGAAGGCTAGAATATGGGGTGGATTAGATGTTTTTTTGGTTTTGTGGACTAAAGTGTGTAAAATTGAAAATTTTGGGGGCCAAAAGTGTATTAACTAATACATAAAAAAAATTGGGGGGCGGGGGCCACGCCAACCATACCCATGGATACACCTTTGATCCTAGGACCTTGTACTAATTTACCACGCCAAAACCAGTTGATCTACCCATGCGGGCAGAAGAATCGAACTCTAATAATAACTCAATAAGTCATATATTGTTACGTTAGTGTGGTTTGCGAGTTATTGCACGAGAGTGAGAGTGAATTGCACCTATATTATTGGATGCGTCCTCTCCATTATCATAAAAAAGAAATAAATATGTGGGTACTTTATAATAATAACTAACAATAGGAAACAGATAAAAATAAGAAAAAAAATAAAAAAAATAAAATTAAAAATCTCAGTGTATATATATAATTATGGGCATATGGGCCGTATTATGCAAACCCTAATTTTGCATTCAATACTGCCTCAGAATTCCTAAATTCAAGATTCCGTCAGATTTTCTATTTCTGTGTAATTAGGTTAACTCTGATTTCACAAACAATTTTATATGCTCGTTGAGAAATAAATCTACTCTACCAATGAATCCTCGATTTTCAGACAACGAAGATGTTGTCATGGAAATACTCTTGCGTCTGCCATTGAAGTCTCTCTTCAGATTCAAGACAGTACAAAAATCATGGAACACCATTATTTCCATGCCGATTTTCGCAAAATTGTACGTCGAATCCGGTCGTGAATTGAACCTTAATTCCGATTTTCTTCACAAATCGCCGATTGACAGCGGCGAAATATGTTGTCCGAAAATCTCGGGACCAGTTAAAGATCTAATCTGCATCTACAACGTTTACGCGACGCAAAGAATCGCCATATTCGACCTTTCTGCTGTTAAAATGGAAATTATCGAGCTTCCGATACACACATGGCATATTCTCCGCAGCATTGGGTTCGGTTTCAACGATAGGGACAATGAATTAGTTGTGGTGCAATTGTTGTCTTGTACAGGTGGCATAGGATCGAGAGGCTATATCGATAAACGTGTGGATCTATATTTCGGTAATAAAAAATCGTGGAGTAAATGTAAGCATCATCTTGATGACTTGACTATCAAGAAAGCAATCGGGACATGCAAGAATGGATCCTTTTGCTTTTGGCTAGTGGAAACGCAACCGTACAATAGTGGTCGTTTTATGTGTGTATTGTCGTTCGACTTCAACAACCGCCGATTTAGAAAAGCTCGATTTCCGCGGCTTTTTTACGACGGTGCGCTCGACGGGAAAAAAGAGAAAATCAAGATTTTTGTTAATGATAACTCACTTGTCCTATTTAGTTACCCGATTTTAGGAGGTAAACTTTTGGGGAGATGGGTGTTGAATGTTTCTGGGATGATAGGGGAATGGACCAAATTGCCCTCCATTGGACCTTTTTCGCAATTGTCGAAGCCGGTTGCTACATGGGAGAATCATGGGATTTTTTTGAAGTGTATTGATCGTGAGGGAAAGACGTACTTTGTTTTTTACGATTATGCCACTCGAGAAATAAGAAACATTGAGATTCCGCGGAAGAAGCACGATCGTGTCAAGGTTGTTGAGTACAAAGGGAACCTTGTTTCGATACGTACGTGAAGGCTTCTTAACTTCAAGAAGAATGTACTTCCCTGGTTTTTATTTAATTTCTCCAAACTTATTTGACTAGCACTTGCTAGTTTTTTTTATTTATGATGATTACATTCTTCTTTGGAAAACACTTAACAGAGATTGTAGTTATTTTAGCACAAGTTAGTTTAAGGAATAAGTGCACTTTGCCCTTTTTTGCGCTTTGTCGCCCAAAAAAAAAACAAAAAAAAAAAAAAGAAATTGCACGATCATACCTACACTAACGAATTCGTTGCAACGGTGACTTAAAAGTCTGGCATAACTTCAAAATTTTATTTTTTTTGTTAATCGTTGCGACGATTATGTAGTAGTTGTCGCGACATTTGGTGAACAAAAGATCAATTACTAGCAGATTAGTGAAATGCATGCATTATGCTGTTGACGGGGCATAGAGCATTTTGTCCTATTTTTTAATTTAATATTCATGACAATATTGGCCCTTTGAAATATTTTAAGGATAATTACAGTTTTGATCCCTATATTATACACCATTTTCGATTTTGGTCCTTAAACTTTTTCTGCCACAAAATTGGTCTCAAATAACCAATTTTTTTTATAATTTTTGTTAACCGTTTAAAATTGCCGTTAGTTTGGACGGAAAAGTTGCGTGTGAGGCACGTGACAATGAACATTATGATATGTGATAATCCTTATATGGCAGTTGTTTTGTCTCTAATTTAGTTCTTGGAAGTTAATAGAGACATGTATTAAGTAGTTAATAGCATTATCCTTATTATTAGTAGGGTAAACTTCATTTTACCTGCCTGAACTATACCCAACGTATAAAATACCCCCCTGAACTTCAAAATGAATCAAAATAGCCCCTCCGTTTAACATCCGTCTGCTCCTGATGATGTGGCATTTTGACTTTTGCATTAATAGTTATTTTAAATAATTGTTGCATGTGTTTTGACATTTTTGCCCCGAATACTATTATAGCTATATGTGTGTGTGTGTGTATATATATATATATATCTATATCTATATATATATATATATATATATATATATATATATATATATATATATATATATATATATATATATATATATATATATATATATATATATATATATATATATATATATATATATATATATATATATATATATATATATATATATATATATATATATATATATATATATATATATATATATATATATATAATTATATGTTTATATATTAATTCCCACCGAATATCTTATAAAAAATAAAAAATAAAATTCTCATCGAATATACAGTGTCTCCACCGGAACTCGCAACCTTCGCCGGAACCCGCAAGCTTGAAGGAAAACTGGCGGCTTATGAACAACTGGTTTCTTTTTTTTTTTGAGAAAAGAACAACTGGTTTCTAAAACCATTAAACTTCGTAAAATAATCCAAAGAGATGAAGAGATAACACAATTTCAGCACTTCCCTTCACACAAAAAGAAAAAAAAAATTCTGGAATTTGTTAAGTATAACAATTGAATTCAATCCAATAATAGCCCACATTCAAGAAATTGTCAAAATCCAACTTGGTCCCATCAAAACCCAGAAAAAAATGTTTTAGCAATTTCCCCAATCACTCTCGCTAAAAGAAACTTTGGGTTGAATCTTTCTCCCGCCGACAAGGTTGTTGAGAAGCTCGACGGTTTCCTAAAATTTGGCGAACTCACAACCCATATCCACCTTCGTGTAATTTTGCTGTGGGGGTGTGGTTTGGGCTGGAATCCTCATCTGGGTTGTTCTTGAATTTGTGATTTTTAGTGAGTTTTGGGGATTTCGATTGATTGGGGGTTCGGATTTGGGTTGGGTGATACATAATTCTTTGGTGATTTCTCACAAAAGCATAATTCTTGGATTCCTGGAATTTGAAATGTAAATTCATGGGTTTATGCTAAAAAAATTCAGCAAGAAAGAAAATAAAAAATATAAATGAAAGGGACGAAGAAGAAGAAAGAATTGGACGAAGAAGAAAAGGTTGGAGGGCAAAAAGGTAATAAGACATAAAAACTAACGGAGTTACTATTTTAATTGAATTTAACGTTGACCCAAAATCTGGAGGGACCATTTTGATTCATTTTGAAGTTCAGGGGGGCATTTTATACGTTGGGTATAGTTCAGGTAGGTAAAATGAAGTTTACCCTTATTAGTATTAGTAAGTTAATTAACCTCTATCAATGTAAGGCAATATAGCCATAATGTTTGTACGTTGGAAAATAGATAGGAAATACAGTCTTCTTCCTCTCAACTCTTTCTTCTTCTTTACCTTGCTTATATTCAGCTGTGTTACCATTCTTATCACATTAACCCCCTTTTTATTTTACCTATATTATTAATTTAACCCCAATACAACTTTATTCTTACAATTTCATCTAGATAAAATTAAATTCAAGAAATGTACTAAAAATGTGAAATGACAAAAATACCATAGAAATACAACAACAACAACAACTAAACAACGCCGCGCTGCAGGAAGTACAGATTATTGCAAACCAAACAACAAAAAGACCTTTGGATTTGCGGAGCACTGAATCGGCAAAGAGCAAGAGATTGATGGCACGAAGAACAAGCACTGCTACAACAATTTTTGCACCAAAATAAGGGATTTCTAGGATTTTAGAAATTTCTTCTATGTTTTAATATTTTCCTTTTGGGTTTCCAGAACATAACTAAAACAGTGGATGATCAATTATGATATTTGATTGAATTTTAATGGGAAAACATGAAAACTCGATGAGTTTTGCTCGATGAATTTTGCTATAAGACAAACAAGGGTTAATCTGAATTTTTGAAGAAAAAAGAATGAGCTAAAGCTCGCAATTTCTACCTTGATAATCTGGGATTTGATGCAAAAGAGGGTATAAGAGGAGAGAAAAAGCGGAGAGAAGAGAGAACTGTGAAAAGAAAATGATGTCAAAAGAAAAGGAAGAAAGAAAAAATGGTGAGAAGAAAATGAAAAAGAAGAGAGAGAGAGAGAGTAATTGGTGGACAAAGAAGTAATTGCACATTAAAAGTGACAGCGTTAGTTTATTCAAAGTTGACCATAAATCACAGGGGTCATTTTGTCTCCTCAACGCCGTGTTAGAACAAACCCGCACAAACTCCCTCATCGCCGACGCCTCCTCAACGCCGAGTTGGTCGGCCCCATCCCATTGGTAGCTCTTGAGTTGGATTCGAACAATTTCACCGGTTTTATATATTCTGGTGATCATTTGGAGTTGATTTTGACGGGAAAGGGGTTAAGGCTGATTGGGATAAATAAAATGGAGGAAGAATAGAAGAGAATAAACGGAGGGAAAGTAGGAAGAAAATGAGAAGAATTTAGGACTTTTAACATAATTTAATTTGAAAATACCACTTTGCCCTTAGAATAGTCATGTCCAATGCACATGTTTTGAATTTCGGTTAAAATAAATAAAGTATAAATGACAATCGGTAACAAAATAATGAGTTCAGGTGCAGAAGTGCAACTTTTTTTTTATTAAGATGACAAAGTTCAAAACGGGTTAAATTATAGGGGGCAAAGTATTATTTCCTTCAAATTTCCGTTAAAACTAGCGGAATCAAACGTGTGCTCATCACTACCGTAGCTGACGGAAGTAATTCGAGGAAAATAACCAAAAATGTCAAAATATTAAAACACGCAGGACCAAATGTGTATTTTTTAAACATAGGGGACCAAATATGAAATTGTTGACAACTTAATGGGTGAAAACTATAAAATTTCCTAACTTAAAGACATTATAAGGCTTGCACATTAAAAATGAAAATTTGTCGGGAATATTACAGTTTACACCCCTCAAGTTTGCACTGATTTCTTATTTGGTCCTACATGTTCACAAAAAACACATTTGGTCCCTCATGTTACAATAATTCAACATTTTTGGTAATTTTCCGTCAATTTAACGTTAATACGTCAGTTGAGGCAGTGATGGTCACAAGCTTGATTCCACTAGTACTACCGGAAAATTGACAGGAATGACTACAAGTGTTGAATTTTTGAATTATGAGGGACCAAATGTGTTATTTATGAACACAGAGATCCAAATGTGAAATCAATGCAAACTTGAGAGGTGAAAATGGTATTTTTCCCAAAAATGGTCAACGGAGGGGTGTTTATGGTAATCATGAATGCCGAAGAGGTATTTCGGAATTCAATCGCAGTTCAGGGTTTTTTTGGTAATTTAACCCTTTCAATTACAATTTTAGGGCTCCATACACCAAAATCGTTAACCCCTCCAATTTCTGAAAAATTGGTAAATTTACAGTCTTGCAATGGCAGTTTCGAACCCTCCACCATCGTTGGACATCCTCGTACGAGGTCCAGAGGGTTTAACCATTTGGGCAGGCCCACCTTTCATCAATGGCGAACCCAGCGTCAAGCTCGATAAAGTGCGATGCAGCACCACGAAATTCAGCGAGGATGGATCAAAACTCATGGCCATTCGATCCGACTCACTCATCAGCATCTACGACTGTAAGAAATTGGTGGAAATAAAATCATTACAAGTGCCCAATGTTCTCGCCGCCACCATTTCTCCGTGTGGGACTTTTGTTCAGACATTTCAGAAATCCACTTCTCCGCAGGAAAAAAACGTCGTCGTTTGGAAATCGGAAACCGGTGAATCGGTTTATCAACTGTTTCAGAAGAATATGAGCAAAGCTACATGGTATATATACACACACACACACACACACACACACACACATACAGTTAAACCTCTATAAATTAATTCAGTTGGGACTACGGAAATTCTATTAATTTAGCGAATTATTAAATTATCGAGTTAGTAATTTAACACATCTTCACCGAGTCGGGACTGAGAGAAACTATTATTTAATTGAGGTTCTACTGTATGTATATTTTGTGGGAATTTGGTTTTTATTATGGTAAATGATTTTTTTTTTCTTTTTGTTTGTGGTACTATTTTTAGGCCTGTATTCAAATTTAGCTATGATGAAGATGTGGCGTGTCGTTTGGTGACGAATGAAGTACAGTTCTTTGACCCGAAAGATTTCTCGAAAGGGGCTGTTAATCGGCTTAGAGTGCCGGGAATTGCTGCGTTCGAGCTTTCTAAGAGCCCTGGATCGTATGTGGCAGTGTTTGTTCCGGAATCGAAGGTTTTTTAATTGAATTTAGTGATCTGTGTCGATTATTACCTAAATGTTTATATTGTCCGTGTTGTCATTTTTCTATCTTGTTTCGTTATTTGAAGTCTTAAATGAGTAACGGAATTCGTTGACACCAATTTTTCTCTAGAAAAACAATATCGATTTGGTGTAGTGTGGGCTTATAAGTTATAAGTGATATTTTGGAGAAATCTAGTGAATTAAATTTTATAGTTAGAGGAAGTTGTTCTAAATCCTAATAGCTTTGAGTTTGTTAGAGACTATTGCACCTCGGAAATTACTAATTATCGAAAGTTTTTTTATAATATTCTAGTCGAAATGCATAATAGTTATTAAAGCTTGTCTGAATCTCTGTCGACCTTTAAAAGTTGTATTTCAATTAATTAGCTCGATAAGCAATCGAATCGAGCTCGAATGAGCTTTCATCAATTTTCAACGATCATCTAAAAAACAGTTGCTCAGTTTGATACTTCCAATGTATTCCCAATTGCAAGATGAGTTCCACAAACTCGTATCCATTGTCAATCTCCGATATACAATCGAATTTCAACAAACGCGGCCCCACTTAAACCGAAAATATTCAGACAGTTTTTAACTTTTAATCAACCTTGCCGGCATGTTGCGAAAGTTAAAAAAGTTTTTTTTTTTTTTTTTGGTGATTTAGGAACCCGCTTAACCATATAGGTGTACTGGTTAAACCCACACTCTCGTATAATAACTTGGAAACTGTATGAGAGGAATAAACCACAGTAGGCTAACCATGTGTGACAAGCTCGACCTAGCGATCGTTGGCAGGGGGATTCGAACCTGGATCATTTGACACATGCTCTAACCGCTAGACCATCCCTTACGGGATTTTTTTTTTTTTTTTTGCTTGTGGTTTTCGTTGACCATTACACCTCCAAAATTACTAAATATCGAACATTTGGCCAAAGTTTAAGAAGTTTGTAATAAAGGGTAGATGTTATATTCGATCTTTTTATTTATTATTTTTGCATAAGCTGCATTTCCTACTTGTTTAAATCGATATATCTTGTTTATGTAGGGAATGCCGGGCAGTGTTCAAATATTTTCTTGTGCAAAGGAGTTACAAAGTCAACCCGTTGCCAGAAAAAGTTTCTTTAGGTGTTCGTCCGTACAACTAAATTGGAATACCGGTTCCACAGGCTTGTTGATCGTTGTTCAGTCGGATGTTGACAAAACTAATCAAAGTTACTATGGAGAGACAAAGTTGAACTATTTGACTACAGATGGAAGTTACGAAGGATTAGTGCCACTCCGTACGTGTTCAAATCTAGTTTCCTTTATTTATTTATTTATTTTAAAAGCTGATTCGACAATATATGTTTTTGTTAGGTAAGGAGGGCCCCGTTCACGATGTTCAGTGGTCGTACTCTGGTAAAGAATTTGCTGTTGTCTATGGATGTATCCTTTTGTTTGTTTTATTTCCTTTCCTTCTTGTCCCATTATTCATTTTTACGTTTTTTGTTTGGATTGTGTGATCGATTATGTCTATTCTTCGGATTTTGGTTTTTTTGCAATTGTTGTCTTCCTTGACTGAGTACAGTTATGCCTGCAACGGCAACAATATTCGACAAGAAATGCAATCCTTTACTGGAGCTTGGGACTGGCCCATACAATACTCTTCGATGGAATCCAAAAGGGAAGTGTATCCTTAAATATAATCTAGTATTCTGCTTCATTTAGTAATCTCTCTCTCTCTCTCTCTCTCTCTCTCTCTCTCTCACACACACACACACACACACACACACACACACACACACACACCCACACACAGAGACACCTTACGGTTTCTTGTACTAATTGCTGTCCTTAATAGTGCTGTATAGTTATATGTGTGGCTGGATTTGGAAACTTACCAGGCAATATGGTACGTTCTTTCAAATAATCTTCTATATATTGTGTCCGATACTAAAAGTTCGCTCAAATAGTTTATCTCATTAGGTATACGTTTTTTGTCCTAATTGTTTTCGCAGTGTTGATTTACTTTCCCGTTTGCTTTGCCATCAGATTAGTCACTCATTTCAATTTTACTCTGAATTTTGAAATTGGTGAAAGTATACAAAAGTGCTTCCGACAAACTTATGGCAGTTATGATAATGAACTAATATAATTCCTTTATTTTGTAGTCTGTAAATGTTTGTTGATGAAACATTTTTTTATACTGAACTTGCGTTATATTAAATCAAGTTCTGTAATTGTTGCTAAGGGTCAATTTGGTCATTTTTCTCGTAGGCATTCTGGGATTATTCGGAGAAGAAGAAATTGGGAGATACAAAAGCTGAATTATCAGTATCAAGTGAATGGTCCTCCGATGGACGATACTTTATGACTGCTACCACTGCTCCAAGACTACAGGTCGACAACGGGTATAAATCTTATTTTTCTCTCTTCTTTATTTATTTATTCCCGTAAAAGCTTAATCTTTGGATGGAAAATATTTATCTTGCTCTTGACTGAAAATTTAGTGAAGTATTGTTGCTTGATTGAAAAAACCAGTTCATACATACGCGCAGTTGATTACATTTACAATTTATTTTATACATATCACTCAAAAAACTGTACTTCGGTACGTATTGTAATGAATGACTCCGTAAGGCCTCGTTCGATGATTTCTGATGTTTTTTTGAAGGATCAAAATATTTCACCACAATGGATCGTTGTACTTCAAGAGAATGTTCGAAAAGTTATATCAGGTTAACAAGACCTTTCGTTTTTTATGCCCTTCATTTTAACTAATTTTATTTAACTCGCCTGACTCATTTGTCCTCCCCAGGTGGACTGGAAACCGGAGTCACCCGATAAATTTGAAGATATCGCAGAGCTCTTAAAGTCTGTCGACTCTATAAAATTGGAAGAACCACCAAAACAAGGTCTCTCAATTAATTTACAATAATAATTCACGAAATACAAACTGATTTTGAAGTTTGAATAATTTGAATTTGAAATTAAATTAAAATGTCGCAGGACAAGGGTTGAAAAAAGCTGCTCAGGCTTCCACAAAAGCTGCTTCCGCCCCTTCCGTACAGAAACCTGCAGCTTATCGCCCGCCTCATGCTAAAGCAGCAGTTTCCGTTCAGGCAGAGGTACGCTGTGAAATTAATTAAATATATATATTTTATTAAGTTTTTCATTTCGTTTTCACACAAACTACTCATGCCCTTACACTAATTGGAACATCTTTTAAGCTGATTGAACTTATTGACTCCATTAGATCAAATTAACAGGATGTTTGCCTAAGTTAATAAGCTGTTAAAAACAGCTTATAACAAGTTTAAGACCTATAAGCTCTTCGAAAGTTTTTGGTATTTTTTTTCAAAAAGATCTTAAAAATAAAAAAAAAATAAGCTGTTTGAGAGCTTTTTTAAGATCTTTTTTAGAAAGTACCGATACCCCACCTTTTAAGATCTTACAATGAGGTAAAAAAGCTTATAAGCTTATCATCAGAACACTTAAAAAATTAATTTTAAAAATAAGACGTAACAGCTTATCATCAACTCTTGAAAGAGCTTATCAGATGTAAGAACTTATCAGATAGTTTAAAATAAGTTTAGCCAAACACCCTTTAAGAAAATTTATCATTGGTAAAATAAATATTGGAATATTGGAATAAGTTTTTTTCTATCCATTCTCGTGTGTATTGTGCTGTAACAATTGCTGTTTAGATCAACAATCAATGTATCCACGAAATTGCTTGTCATTATAGAATCTAGTACAATAGAACCTCGATAAAATTAATAACCTCGCTTAAATAATAGTTTCTCTCGGTCCCGACTCGGTGAAAATATGTTAAATTATTAACTAGATAATTTAATAATTCGCTAAATTAATAGAGTTTCCCTAGCCCCGACTGTATTAATTTATAGAGGTTCAATTGTATATGGGAGCTATGTGAAGTCAATTGCATAATTAATTAGTGTGCCGAATTCACATGTTTATTATGCCTGATCATATTAGATCAATCTTTCGTTATCGCATTTATGATTTCACTGTTACGTTACTTAAGATAGGTTGTTGTATGAAATAATTCACTTTTGTTTCAGATTAACAGATCTTTAATTGCCGCAAGAACGAGACGCAAAAAGAGTTGTTGGAGAACTAGGAAATTTGTTATCCTTAGTATTCTTTACTAAATTAAGACTTAATCCAATAAGTATCTTTTGTGCATCCTACCAAAGCAAACACAGCCTCTAATTACTATTGACTGCCAAAAAAATAAAAGTATGGGTAAATTACACTCACACCCCTGAGGTATGCTGAAATAACTTTAAGGTCCCTGTGATATCGATAATTACACTCACCTCCTGAAACATAG